ATCAGACATTTACAGAGGGAACTCAAAAAGGCCATGTCATAATCTTATCTTTTTTCTTCTAGAAACTGAAACAAGAGAAGGTTGATGACCAGAAGGAACTCCGCATCATCTACCAGAAACTGTCCACCGCCATCACCTCTCTGATCCAATTCATCCGCGCTCAGCTCGGTCAGTTCGGCGTACCTTCCGGACCTCTTGGCCTCAACCCGGTCAGTATACAACTTTCAATTAAAAAAAAGTTAATTGTTGCAATAATTTGAAGTCTTTCAACAATAATCAAAAGTTATCCACGGACTATTTTCATAAATAATCACATACAGTCAATTACTTTTCCCCAGTGCAAACCTCCTTGCTGGTTATTAAAATAGTATCTAAGTATTTACATCAAAGACTCTTTGAATATAATACTAATGTTCTTCTTATGCCTCCAGCTATCCTTCTCCCCTGGCTCCGTGCAATCTGCCCCAGCCCTCGGCAGCCCACCATCAGCCAGCCTTCTCAGCAAGCTGCTGACAGGAGACGCTCCTGACGTCCTCGCTTTGATCAAGTCCTACAGGCCCAAGAGCTTGAACCCTCTGGATGAGGTGCCCGCCAAACGTGAGTACAATTCGTATACTTAATTTAATACTTTAACCTACTTATGATGAAGGGAACATCGTATAATTAACGTATAAAAAATGCTAATTTGCTACACTAGCCTACCGTACAACAAGCAGGCCTAAATACAATCAAATTATATAATCGAATGACCTATTAGAAACGTAGATCCTAATCTGTTAATTATTTTATAGTCCGTGCTGTTGTCGTCAACGGCCAACACATCTTCACATTCGACGGCCGCCACATGACCTTCCCTGGCAACTGCCGCTACGTTCTGGCTCACGACCACGTCGACAGGAACTTCACACTCATGATGCAGCTCGCCAATGGACAGCCCAAGGCTCTGGTCTTGGAAGACAAGAGCGGCACCGTTGTTGAGCTTAAGGAAAATGGACAGGTTCGTATCTCGGATACTGTAGAACATTAAAATTCATTGATAAAAGATAATTTGCTATTTATGCCTTTTTAACCAACTTCAAAAAGATAGTCTCAGTTTAACATGAATATAATGTGTATGTATGTATGCGCGATTTTCTCAGGATTGGCTGAACCGATTTTGATGCGGTTTTCAGTGTGTGTTACACTTAATAGAAGATTTATGTATAGTAATTAACCGACTTAAAAATTGAGGGTGTAAATTTGGCTTTTTTAAACATAGTTTATTAAAGACTTATCCTTCTATATAATAATATCCTGATCCACAGGTTACCCTGAACGGTGCCAACCACGGCTTCCCAGTCATCGAGAAGGATTCCTTCGCTTTCCGCCAGGCTAACGGCCGCATCGGACTCGGAACATTATACGGCTTGATGGCCTTCTGTACCACCAAACTTGAGGTTTGTAATCATTTCATTTTTATTTAACAACATGAATAAAGTAATAACTTTTTGAAATTTTCAGATGCGTTAATAATCGGTCTTTGAATCTTAACTTTTGATATCTGTACAGGTCTGTTACATCGAAGTGAACGGCTTCTACCTCGGCAAACTGCGCGGTCTTCTTGGAGACGGTAACAACGAGCCCTTCGATGACTTCCGTCTACCCAACGGCAAGGTATGTATTACTTTATCACCTATCTTTCCCTCGATGAAACTTTAATATTATAGATTTTATAGTTCCAGTAAATAACTTAAGAATCCAGTAAATAAATACTCTTTGTGATACCCAGAAACATTTCACTAATCTAACTATACTTTCAGATCTCCTCATCAGAAAGCGAATTCGGCAACGCCTACCGCCTGGTCCGCAGCTGCCCACAAGTGCAGACTCCCGAACACAACCACCACCAGCTCCACCACATGGCCATGCCCCCAGCATGTGAACAGGTCTTCGGAGGATCCTCACCACTCAGGCCTCTTAGCCTGTTCCTTGACATTTCACCGTTCAGACAAGCTTGCATCCACGCCTGCTCTGGCGACTCCAAGGAGGCTCTGCACCAGGCCTGTGACTTGGCTCGTGGTTACGCTGCGCTGGCTCTCAGCAGCATGTTGCCTGCTATCCTGCCCGATGTGTGTGTACAGTGCAAAGATGCTGACAAACCTAGGAATGTGGGAGAAAGCTATGAACTCAAGGTCCCCAACAAGCAGGCTGACATTGTTGTTGCATTCGAAACGACAAAGGTAAGACCACTTTAAAAAAAATATTGAGATTCTTTTCTGGGCTAATTCTAATTTTCCCTACAATAAACGTTTGCTTTGACAAAAACCATCGGTATTGAAAACTCTTTCATAAACTATTTGCTTCATTTATATCAATCTTAAACACATCTAATCCAACCTCTTTCTCCAGGACAACGAGAAGAACTTCAAGGACATCGTAGTACCCCTAGTAGGCCAGGTTCTGGACGGTCTCAAGGCCAAGCGCATCACAGATGTGAAAGTCTACCTTGTCGGCATCACACCTAAGTTCCCATACCCCATCATCTACGACACTGACCGTAAGTTGAATTTAATGGTCTATCGTATAGGAAGCAACACTGATTAGTATTTTCATCACACAAGTATTTTGCTTTTAATCTGGCGTAAAATAAGTACTAAGTACTTAATTGAAATTGTTTTTTCCCTGTAGAGAGACTGAAGAACGCCAAGGTTCAGTTCCCTGACGAAAGCCGCTACCAGAGATTGGCTAACCAGTTCAAGACCAAGGATGGTCACTACGACCGCTACTTGCACGAAATCGCCTCCATCATCGATGCTCTCAGGATTGAGTTCGGTTAGTATCATAAAATCCTAATTATGATTCCTTGATGAAGAAGGCTATTCATGTAACACCCAACTTTATCAAGCTAAAGCCTGTTTCATTTAAAATCGCAGTCAAAAACTGATTGCTCTAAAAAATAATAAACTAATTTTGTATCTTTTGTCTTTCAGGACTTACCAACGTTGTTGCTGGATACCAATCCATCTTCGACCTTCCGTTCCGCGCTGGAGCCGTCAAGCACACCATCAGCGTCGTTGGAGAGGAATGCATCAGTCAGTTCTTCTTGGTAAGTTCCTTCTAAATGTAACGATCTGATAAAAAGAGAATGTCGGGATGTTTAAGTAATTTTCACCTCACATTCATTTATTTTTTCTATCAGTATTACTTTTTTTACTAATGTTTATGTCTGTGTCCAGGTGGAAGTAGCCCGCTCCCTCGCGTACAGCCTCGCCTTCGAGAACATGGCCTACTCCCACTCTATCGTCACCGTCACTCCCTCTGGAACCCTCAAGATCAACGGCAAGAACCCCGCCCAGATTGTCGGTCAGTATACTTGGGATAATAATAAACTTCTATAATTTTCTTTTAAATCAACATTTTCGAGATATTTTTCGTTTTCAGATTATCTTCATAATTTTATCAAAGCAGTCACAAATTCTTTATATCAATTTGAATTTCTCTTCTTCAGGTTACACTGAACGCGCTGTGATCATGCTGGGAGACAAGAAGGTCGGCAAGGATGCTGAGAACCTCAGGAGCTCACTGACAAAGATACCTGACGCCTGCAGGGACTTCGTTGAGTCGGTGAGTTCATAACCAGACGGTTTTATGGTCTTCAGAAAGTGACATACTTTTAGCAAGACCAAAAACATTCAAACATATAATAGTTTAACTACTCTGGTGTTACGGATGTCTATGAGCGGCGCCGATTACTACCACCAAGCGATCCGATAGCTCGTTTGTTATAAAAAATATATTTTTTCACTTATCAAAAATCCCTTATATAAAGTTCATGCTCTAACCATGAATTTCTCCCAACAGTCTGACGGCATTGTGTTCTCTGCCACGAACTTCCACGGCATGAACCCTGGACAGCAGAAGCAGTTCCTCTCGACTGCAGCTGCAGCCATCAACCAGCGGCTGCTGCACGAGAGCGTCGTGCAGGACTGCACCTGTGTGTACGCTGACCCATTCAGGGTGCACTCCGTGTGTGTCACCAAGGACAGGAAAGAAGTGGTAAGCATCAGGACTTTGGAGTAGATTAGCTAAATTAGCTTGTGTTCTGGGTGGGGGAGAATAAGAGGGATGATACAAGACCTTACTGATCCTATAAATGAGCTACTTTGCAATAATATTTCGAAAATTGTTATTGTACTTAGCAGTTTTAATGTATGTACTAAACTACATTCAATATTACTGAAATACTGATATCAAAGACATTTAAAAGTAATTTCTAAAACACAATAATGCATGCATCATTTATCTGCTTATTATCTCCACCACACAGTACAATTAGTAGAAAAAACCTACCAAACCTATCATCAAAATGGTAATTTCAATATTTTTCTAATCTAGCAATACTTTTGTCCACAGGCTCGCAGACGGAAGTAATCTGCGCCCGAAACTGTGATCCAATCGTGCCAAGTACCAAATACTCTAGAATTGTAGTAGGCTAGTGGGAGCGAGACGCATATACAGCAATACCTATATATACGTCTCACTCGCACACACTCATCAAAACCTTTTACAGAAATATGAAGCAATATAGTTCCATACAATATTTAACTTTATTATTAGTTATAGAGAGTAAAAAATGGATTGACAATAGTTTTGAATTGTTCCATGTTTCTGTGAAAGGTATTAATCATTGAAATTGTCGTTTAAAAAATCAGTTTTGTATTTATGTATGCCGCGGACCATCGTGAGGTATTAATTGATCATGATCGACTCTGTATTAGATATAATAAAATATCTTATTTAAATCATTAATTATGATGTTTTTCTAACCTCTCCTATATGGCAATAGGCCCACCCCTTATTACATGGGACTCTTAACATAAACAGTGAAATGTGGGTGTACCATTGTACAGTGGCATTAAGTACCGTAATGTGCATCTCTGCCTACTCCTTCGGGGCTAAAAGGCGTGATGTTATGTTTGGTTTAAAAGAACACAATATATTTACAGGAAATGAAAACGATTTTTATAAAAGAAGCTTGTAATTAAATGCATTAATAAAAGTAGAAAAATACACTTCAGTTTAAAATCTAAATATATTATTATTTGGTTATAAATTTTAGGCAATTGAATTATATAAACAGCTTGTCGTTATGTCAGTGATATACATAATTATATGACAGTGTCATATTATGATACCTCTATCGACAATTTACTTTATTATGGCACAGGTGAATTATGGCAATGCCATATATGAGTACGACAATGCCATATATGAATATGACAATGCCATATATGAGTATGACAATGCCATATATGAGTATGACAATGCCATACATGTATATGACAATGCCATAATTCTGCAACAAGCTATTTATAACGCCTAAATTGTATCTTTCATTCATTTTATCTTAATAAATGGAATGTTAATAATTCGTGTCAAGACTTAACGCTATGTAATTACTAGGGGTCTCAGTAGACAGTCTTGCGCACCCACTTCATACGAGGCCCGCGTTGTGACATTATCTTCACTGAGGCACTCGCTGCGCCCTTCACTACGTCTTGTATCTGAAAGATTATGTGGAAGTATATAAGTTTGATTCCTAGGCACAAAATGAGTGGCGATTTCACCAACCTACGTTAAGACATGATCTAGGGGTCTAGATCATGTCTTAACGTAGCGTATCTTAAGGTAGCGCCTAAACTAACCCATTATCTGTACTGATAGGTATTATTCTAGGTTGGTGAAATGCAATATGTCATAAAGTGTCACCTATCTTAGCTTAGGGGTTTTTTTTAAGGGGGCGAAAATCATCGATTGACGCTCCCGCCTGGGTGAGGGGGGAGGGAGTGTCAGACTCTTACTGACTAAAAACCACCCTGTTCCTTCTCCTGCACGTCGAGCCGGAGCCCCGGTTACCCGTTAGGTTCTCCGCGACTAGCTTAGGGGTTAGGTTTCTTATTTCCCGTTGAAATTCTAGTAAAGAACTAACTACTTATTATTTATATTTATCCCCTAGTTTTATCCCATGGGAACATTTAATCGGGATAAAAAGTATCCTATTACCTAAGTCAGCCCATACCCTGCCTGTATACCAAATTTCATCCAAATCCATTCAGTAGTTTCCGCGTGATTGAAATTTCAACAACTTTAAAAAAGGCACTCACACTCAACATGAGACTCTGCGCGTTGCCCACGAGCATGTCCATCGCCTCCTTATCTTCCTGGGTACCTGAAACATACAACAAATGTTAAAACTTCATAATATGTGTCAATCGGGAAAGAAATTTCAGTATAATAAGACTTTTAGCTTCCAAAATTGTAGCCAACTTGCTATCAAAATTATAGTCATAAAATAAATTATTATAGTATTCTTTAAAGTCTCATTGAATTTTCGATATTTTGACTGATTGAATTGGCGAGCCAACCGACTGCTACTGAACGTGTTACGAGTCAAATATCGGACCATATTCAAGTGTATATAGCATAGCCCCCTTTTCAAAGAAAAGAAAAAAACAGACTTTAAGGAGATAGAAAAATGATAGAAAATATCAACGTACCATGTCTTCCAAGTGAGAATCCTTTGACAGTAGTCAACATCTTGAGCTGGCCGCTGATGGTAGGGATCCTCTCGCAGGTTTGCAGCAAGTTCTAGAACAATATTATCAGGAATATCTATACATACCAAAACGTTTAGAATCGGTTTTGAACTGACTGAGATAGGGCTATACACCACCATACCGATGTAATCGTGTCATCTCTTTTTCACATAATCAGTATTTACAGATTGTACACACGAGAAGACATGTGCTGTTTAATGAAAGAAAGAAAGAAAGAAAGAAAGAAAGAAAAAAAAAGAAAGAAAGAAAAAACATTTATTTAGCACCAGGCACGATGCAGCATAAATAAAAATAAAAAAGACAATCAAGATGTGACAGTAGAAGTAATAAAGATATAAGAGTTGAAAAATTGAAACAGAAGAATTAGAAAAGAGATGCTGACAACATGCCCATGCTAAAAGGGTCACCCACTCAGTATAAGCCAGGCATACAGGTTACCCAGCACTGATTTTCAGTGGGCACCCATGCAATGGGTAAATAATGCAGGAACGATTATAATTAAATGGAAAATGTGAATTCAAATATGACTCTGTAGTAAAACTGTTGTAACAACTAAGCTTTTATCTCTTCTACGTAACAAATAAAATTTTTATGCAATAAGCCGGTAATCGAGCAGATGGATCACATGATGGTAAGCAATCGGCGTCGCCCATCGACACTCGCAACACCGGAGGTGTTACTAGTGCGTTACCAGCCTTTTGGGGATGAGGATTTTGAGGATTGTTGGGGATTCGGGGATTGGGGGGATTGGGAATAACTGGGCCTCCGGTAAACTCACTCACATGATGAAACACAACGCAAGTGCTGCTTTACTTAGGTTTTTTGTGAGGCCGTGGTATCAGGAGGTTGTGGCGGGCTTGTCCCATAAAAGGCCGTAGTATCACTCCGGTCGAGCCGGCCCATTCGTGCCATAGTACGGCTCTCGCACACTTAGTAATATTAAAAACAACACGTTAATTAATAAAATAGTAACGAACCGTCTTGATCCTATGGTCAGTACACTCGTGCGCTAGTTTCTTGGCGAGGCGTGCCACCTCATGGGACTCCAACACTATCGACTTTGACGTCGCCAGCACTTCGCGTTGCTTGTCTGAAAGAATATAAAATTCAAGTTGTGTTTTGTGAATTGTATATGCTATTACTCCTGTATAAATAAACATAAAACATAATCTCTTCTTTTATCCCCGAAGGGATAGGCAGCGGTGCACATTACGGCGCTTAATGTCACTGTACAATGTAACACCCACTTTTTACCATTTATGTTATGAGTCACCATGTAATTGAGAGTGAGCCTATTGCCATATACCGGGCATATTTCCAAACTCCTTGCTACTACTGAGGTTTTTAAAAAACCCAGTTATACTTTGCCCGACCCGGGAGTCGAAACTGAGATCCCTTGCCCAGTCACACTTGCGACCACTCGGACAACGAGGCAGTATAAGTAAACATGATTATTATTTTTTTTTTTCAAGAAACGATGTAAACCACTCTATATTGAGGCGTGGGTACTACAGCAAACTCACTTGTGTAAAGAAGACCCATAGTACAGCAGTGGATTGTCATTAGCTATAATCATGACGATAAAAAAGGTGATTTGGAATTGTAAATCCAATGTAAATAGTATTTATTACAATTAATCCACATTTGGACAATAGATGGCGCTACTGCCAATTAAAGTCTTTTTTTTCTAAGTTTTAAATTACCCCAAGCGCCCTCAAACTGTATATTTTACTAATATTACCGTTATTCATGAAGTTGGAGAGTTTAGCCATGAGGACTGCCATACGCTTGGCGACAGCCACGATCTCGTTGTCACGGGACGACCAGTCGCGGATAGCCACGTGCAGGTTCATTGCTTCGTTCTGGTAAAAAAAAATGCTGTTATTGATATTTAGTTGAAAATGTGAAAACTGCTGCTTATTATAATCGACGAATCAACGTTCCTAACGTCTTTAAACGAAGGAGTTGGCACCATGTGCTGCTCGTGATTATGAGCCCCCGTCATAGCTTGAAACTAGTCGGGCATCTTTAATATTGAAACAAATTACATGAATACGTACAAAGATTGGTTGGTCCTGCGTGGGCTGTTGCTTGAAGATGGTCTCTCCACACAGTAGGGACTCCACTTCTTCCGTGGCTTGTAGAATCTGGTGAAAGAAGAATTAAGACTGATGATAGCTTGCATTTTTGGTGCGGTAGCCGGGCGGTCAGCTATTATTCAACGTATCGAGGATTTGATTCCCGTACGAAACAATTGCTTATGTGAAACTTGCCTTCTGCTATTGGGCTGAAGTCGTAAATAAGTACATTTTATAAAATGTGATGAAAATCTTATTCATCTATTCAGCGTTTTTATCAAAATTTTTACCCTTTTCGACAATCATTAAGCTTTTGGCAGTGCACAGAAACTTCACTGCCGACAGAAAATTGTTAAAGACTAATCCTCCGCTATTGGAGTGGCCTATGTCGAGCAATGGATGAGATGTTGGCTGTTGATGATGATGAATGACCAAAGTGGGCAAATCCCAGACTTGTCACTTCATCCCATAGGTAACAAAGGACCAGTTAACACGTTAAACGCCATGGGGGCACCGGTGACCGACGTTAGCGGAGGATTTATCTTCAACAGTTTTTTATTGGCAATCAAAGGCTTATATAGTAAGTTTACCCTGGCGGTAGTGTCCTTGAAGTCTGGCATCTTGCTGGCGCGCGTGTCCGGCGCGGGCGTGGCGGCGGCCAGCTGGTGCTGCGCGGCCGCCAGCGCGCGCTGCAGCTCGGGGTCGCGCCGCGCCGTGCTCGACGACATGCCCACGTGGATCACTCGGTTGGCTAGTCTGGATACATCACGGAACATTTCAAAAAAACTCATTTATTTTTACCTAACAGTTACAAATGTCCTCGTGACGCGATCAATCTCAAGATCACGCTTCAACTCGCTCTAAGTCTGATGCCTTTTTTTGTTGACGGGAGGAGGCGCTTAGCTTTTTGGGGATTAAAGACTAGGGAGTGTGGGGCTTTTACCTCACTAAAACCACCACGGTGGCTTCCCTCAACACCTGTATGGAGGCACCGGGTCTTTTAAAAGAGACTCCAAGTCTGATGCCTAAAGACTCTATAAACCAGTTCAAATATAACGAATGATGCGAATCACAAATCACGGAGCAAATATTTGTGTACCTAAGCCACATCAAGTAGGTCCGGGTCTGAATGGACTGTATATAAAATTGTATGTTACACATACACGACACATTAGAAGATCCTGTACGGGGCATTTTTTTAAAGAAAAATTATATTATAATCTTACTTGGAGATGGCGGTCGATGTGTGTGCATTGTGCAGCGGGTCGTTTTGTGTGGAGGACTCCTCACGCATGCGCTCTATCGTCTCACCTACAAGTTTTAAATTAATTATTAATAGATGGAGCTAAGTGGACTGTAAGAAAATGAAGGTTAAAATAAAATGAATAGTTCGTGTGATCGTGTCGTCTCATCTATGACTTTCCGAACGAGACAGCAAGATTATTTCTCCCGGATCGAAACGAAAAATCATTTAATTTTGAGATTATAAAATTGTAAGCTATTATTGGTTAAACGATAATAATAATTATGAAGATATTTTACCAGCTGTCTGCACGAACTCCATGGGATCAACAGATTGGTCGCACAGGTCTCGAATCTTGGACATCGACTCCACATATTTGGCCAGCAGCGATTTATAGTTCTCTATTACAGCCTGTAGACGAAAATAATATTTTAGAAAACGATACAAATAATATTCTATATAAGTAAATTACTAGTTCTTCTCTATAACATTGTAATGATTATGCTATTTAATTTTAAATGAAAACCATGAAACTCATAGGTCATACCGACTAAGTATAGGGACTCTTAACGTCTACTCAATAGCTACAAGGATGATGGCACAGTGATCACGTGCTTCTATGTAGAGCGCAGATGCAAGGAGACATTATGGATGGCCATAACAAACATTTTTTTCTGGAACACCAGAGTCGTTACAAGTGCATTACCGGCCTTTTGAGAATTGGGAATTTGAGGATTGTGGGGGATTCGAGGATTGGGGGAAGGGAGTAATTGGGACTTCTGTAATCTCACTCACCATTTGGGGCTCCGCAACTGGTATTTTCTGGGGTCTTGGTTTCTTTATCGATGCTAAATGATGATGATGAACACCAGACAGATGTTTAAGTAAATTAAGAGTCGCCTGAATCCTAGTCTTTCTCTCCAAAAACCTTTTGAATGTTTCCACCAAAGACAAAAAAAGGTTTTAACTTACCTTGTCATCAGGACGTGTAATCCTTTCCTGAGCAGCTTTCACAAGCATCGGCGCTAGCAACTCGGTCTGAAAAGAAATAGAAGATAATAATTCAATCCCTACACCCCTTCTGTTCTTGCGAGTGACTAAATATCGTGCCATCTCTGTCACTTTACTAAGAACTTGTAGAGACAGAAATATATTTAAACGCGAATGTAGTTCTTTCCATCATCGTACCACAAGATAATCGGCGAAGCGGTGAGAAGGTGATTCTCATGGTAAATGTCTCACCCACACTCACGAAGCGCTTCGCATCAAGCTTCCTTGTGCGTACTGCTAAGGAGTGGAATTCTTTGCCAGATTCTATATTTCCTGAAGGGTGTATAACCTGGATGTCTTCAAGGCCCGGGTGAATAGATTGCTTATGCGTCGCCGTGCTTCACCGTAGACCGCATCATCGCTTACCACCAGGCGAGATAGTGGGCAAACGTCGGCCCATCAAGCATAAAAAAAACTTAAAATTGAGTGGTGTTTGAGTATTTCAGCATAAGAGAGTACTTATTTATATAAAAAGAGGTCGTTTATTATCAATCCTTACTATAATATTATAAATCTGAAAGTGAGTTTGTTTGTTTGTTTGTTCACGCCGTAACTACTCAACCGATCGCTTTGAATTTTTGCAGACGTAAAGTTAGAAGTCCGGATTAAATAATAGGGTACTTTTTAACCCGGAAAAATTTGATATTCCCGAGGGAAAACAAAAGTATTGGTATAGATGGCGCTGTGTGTATTGGTATATGTCACATAGGCTACTTTTTATCCTTTTGTGACGCGAGCTAAGCCGCGGGTAAAAGCTAGTCTCTAATAAACCTTAAACCTTTTAAACCGCCTTTTGTGTAGAGGAGGCTTGTGTCAGTAGAGTGTCCTCAGCTATTGCCGAGCTGTATGTCGGTGTGTACCTGCTGGCTGCAGTGGCCGATGTCGTCCGCGCGGTGTGCGTGTGTGTGTGCGACGAGGCGCGCGGTGGCGGTGACCCTGCCCAGCTGGGCCAGCAGCTCTGCTATCTTCTTCTCCAGCATAAACTTGCGCTTGGACTCGTCTGAGTAAAGTATAATGTCAGCTCATGTATAGCTTAACGGAGGACAAAGATGTTTTATAAAAACTGCAAGCATGTGTGCATAATCACACAATATGAAGGTTTTATAATAACAAGCTGACTGCACTATTGGCGCAGTGATACTCCTGGAATATTTGATAATCAAGCACTCACAACAAAATAAGAAATTCTATAGGTAACTTGCTTATCCAAAACTTGGAGAAAATATGGTTAATGTTAAACCTGAGTGCGAAACCATTGTAAAGATGAAATTGGTAGTCAACAGTATCAACTAACCCTGCTCATACTCAGCGATGAGGTCGAGGTCAGCCAGAGGTTCCTCAGCCTGCATAAAGTCCTGCACCAACTTGGAGACCACTCCTCGCGACACTCCCTTTTTCAGCTCTCGAACCCGCTCCAGTAACACACTAACAAACATATAATAATCAGTAAATACTTTTTTAGATTTGGCATAACTGAAAGTTAACCGTACAATGTATTCTCTTCAATTTCGAAGCGTTTAAGGGTTTTCTTCCACATTTACAATCATATTTTTATAAATATCATTTTTCTCAAACCAAACCATAAATGCCGGAGCAATACGGTAACATTGGTAACTTACCTATAAAAATCACGATCGAATTGAGTCACTCCCTCCTTTCTTGAAGTCAGCTAATGCAACCTAACAAAGTTAAACACCCGAAAACAATTCGTACCTGTACAGTTCCTGGTCATATTTCTGACTGCATTCCATAAGCAGCTGTTCAGTTTCCACTATCAGGTTCTTCATGTCTTCCTTGTCAGAGCCTTGCAGATCCTCTGCCACCTGTAAAATGAGAGTAATATAACAATTTGGAACCATCAATCTCTTTCCTATCTGTCTTCAGTTTGCCACCTCTTCTCTTCCTATATAGAAGAATCCTTACTTCCTTACTTATATTATAAATCGGAAAGTGAGTTTGTTTGTTTGTTCCGCCTTCACGCCGTAACTACTAGACCGATTGCTTTGGAATTTTACAGACGTAAAGTTAGCAGTCTGGATTAAATAATAGGGTACTTTTATCCCGGAAAAAATTGATATTTTCTAGGAAAAACAAAAATATTGGTATAGATGGCGCTGTATGTACTGGTATAGATGGCGTTGTATGTCATTTAAAACCAGTCAACGAATTACCTACTTATTGGAAAAATCTAAATAGCAAAACGGAGGTACTAATTATTAACGTGATTTTTTAACTGAAGGTAGTTGAACGTATGGATAGTCACATAGGCTACTTTTTATCCTTTTGTGACGCGAGCGAAGCCGCGGGTAAAAGCTAGTAGATAAAATATAGATAGATAGAAGAATAGATAAAAGGGACCACACATTTAACACAGACTAGAAGCGCTCTCTCATTAACCTGAACTGTGAGTTCCAACTCTGTCAGGCGTGGAAACAGTGGCTAACATCACTTTTGTAGAGGTCCATAGTCCCATCATGGTATTGTGGAATACCAAACTTAGCTTATTTTATGGGTAACCGTCACAACCTCCCGAATGTGCAATTTCTGTGTACTAGAACCTACAGTAGATACAACCATGAAAACACCGGAACACCGAGGTCGCCGCGTCCGAGAGACATGAATGACTGTTATGTTTTCCAGCTTACTCACGTAAGCATTCCACTATTCCGCGCAGTCGCCGCAGGTGTAATGCTACTCATGAATATGAGCCTCTAGCTTGGCTTGAAACTAGTTGAGTTCCTCGTCGAATAATTACGTGAGTAGGCCGAAAAACATAATAATTAATTTAGTTAGTATATCTCTCACGAAAGTTATATAAATATGAATGACTGCCTTGGATCTCGATACGAATTAAAACAAAATATTGAAAAATTACTCGACTGTTTACATAACATAACATCACGCCTTTTATCCCTGAAGGGGTAGGCAGAGGTGCACATTATGCCACTGTACAATGTAACACCCACTTTTCACTATTTATGTTATGAGTCCTATGCAATAGGGGGTGAGTCTATTGCCATATACCGGGCACAATTCCAGACTCCGTGCTAACACTGAGATTTTTTTTAAAAACCCAGTAGTACTTTGCCCGACCCGGGAATCGAACCCGACACCCCTTGCCCGGCAGTCGCACTTGCGACCACTCGGCCAACGTTGACTTGACTGACTTTAAGTTACTAAAAATTAGCTCACCTTATTAGCGACGTCCACGAGGTTGCGCACTGCCTCCTGTCCCTTCGACTTCACCTCCGGCTTGCACATCGGCTTCGAAAGCCATTTGGATGCTAAGTCGAACCTGTTAAATAGCATTACATTTAATAACTTAATTTCCTTTCATGTCAGTTTCAGCTATGGCGACCGTTACACGATTACATAGAATAGGTATACATTATGAAATTTAATTCGTTTTCGTCCCGCGGCAAAACAACCTGCCATAAGAAGTACTCTCGATGTATAAAGTAAAAACAAAAAAACAAATTGGTCATTTATTTTTCGTTACAAAAAAATTATAGAAATACGCACATGATATATTAGACGTAAAACAATTAAAATACCTTTTTAAGAATTACATGGCTTGATGTTTTGATCGTATACTTATTTATTTATTAGGTTAACCAACAGTTATTTACACTCATACATTCATTACATCATTACAAATAATACTTTGGTAAGTGTAACTCCTACTTACTGGCTAACACAGCATGCACATAAAACGGTTAGACTATGTTACATAAAAAATTATAATATTCGAACAAGATCAAGCAACATAACATAAAAGTTCCGATCAATTAACTCGTCGAGTACCGGTTTTATAGACACAATTAAAGAACAATAGGTCGCGGTCACCGGTGACCGCTTGGTGTTTGACAGTTTAATTAAATTAAATATGGAATTAAAATATGGAATTAAAATGAATTAAATTTGAAATTCAATAGAGTCGATATGTGTAGGATTACAACCAAGACATGGGTACCTAACGTAATTAGGCACCTGAAACAATTGAACATACTTAGTTTGAGTTCGTATGCGTTTTCGATTATTAGTCAGTTATTTGTGGTTTTAAACATTTTACTTCTTTGTATAACTATTGTATTACAAAGACAGAACCATTTTACTTCGAGACGAAAACGATATAATAGATTTCACGGTGTACATCAATACATAAGTATCATAATCATAATTGGAATACCTCTTATTTGCACAAGGCTAAAAAGGTGCTCTTGTTTTAATAAGCCAGAAACATCAAAATATGACTCACTGTGTTTCCACATAACTCTTCTTGTCTTCCTGTAAATAAAAACATTATGTTTAACTATCTTCTCACCAATAGCCAATACCCAATACCAGTACCAATCGCCTCACTAGCGTTCCCGTGTGAAAAAAGCAGTAAAGGATTATTCCTTTACTACTTTTTTACAAAAAAACCGTAAAATATTCAGCCTATGGCGTGAAAGAGTAATAAATAAACACACACACATACATACAGCCTCACAAAGTTTCTCATATATAATATAGCAAGAAGTAAGATTATCATATATAAACAAAGTAATTCAGATAAACCCTAAGATTATGATATAATTAGGTACCTCTGGTTCCTCAACTGCAGCTTCTAGAAGATTGACACGTTGTCCACTGGACCTAAAAAATATAAAATGATAATTGTTATAATCTCCTTCCTTTATTACGTTGCTATGCTAATATCGTTTGTTTGTTTTTAATACAACGTTGCCTTCACAAGGATTTTCTCCTGTGTCGTGGATGCGTTTACAAACTTAGAAGTACACATGCGTATGACGTGTCGTGGTGGCCCGGAGGTTTAAGACGCCCACTTCTCATGCATGAGGGTGCGGGTTCGAAACCTACCAACGGCAAGTACCAATGTGACTTTTTCCGAGTTATATGTACTTTCTAAGATTATTTAGACACCACTGACAAACGGTGAAGGAAAAACATCGTGAGGAAACCTGGACTTATAATTTCTAATTATAAGTTTGAAATCGCCAACCCGCATTGAGCAAGCGTGGTGATTAATGCTCTAACCTTCTCCGTGTGAGAAGAGGCTTTGCTCAGCAGTGGGCATTTATAGGCTGTTGATGATGCATATAACACCCAGACCCGAAATAATAATTGGTAGATCATACAAAGAGTTCTTCCGTGGGGAAATCGAACCCGCGACACGTAGCGCATCAGCCGGTACCCCAGCCACCACACCAACCGTGCAGAGTATTTTATGTATTATATTTTGTGTATTCTTTGTTCGTTTCTTTTGAGTTTTTCATAATTTACACGTTGTTTATAAGTGTATAACAATGAAAATGGCAGACCAAAGTTGGCGAAACTGTAACAACCAAAACGTTACACAAAGATTTATTTATTTATTTAGTCTTTAATGTACACAATTTTAATATGGCACATAAGGCGGACTTAATGCCATATGGCATTCTCTACCAGTCAACCTTAGGATTTAAATAGAAAATCTGCGAAAAATAAGGTACGGAGAATAAACTAACAGCAAAGAGAGAGAGAGGAAAAAAATAAATAAAAAGGTAATTATTAAATAATATAGCTATATAGCTACATATATATTACATAATAGTAAATAGTATATATAGTCATATGCATAAAATATATAGGTAGATCTCCACAAACTTTGACTGCACGGTAGATGGAATGGTAAAGACCGCTTTTTTATATTTGATGGGCCGTCGTTGCGGTCTACGATGGAGCACGTCGTCCCATAAGCAACCTACTCACTCGGGCCTTGAAGACACCCAGGTTGTACCCTTCAGGATACACAGACTCTGGCAAAGAATTATACAACTAATACTCACTTGACACTCCTAAGAAGGTTCTCGAAGGCATCCAGTACATCCTTCCTCTTGTTGAACATCACCCACTTCATGGTCTCCGGCTCCTCAGGGGCCGCCTTCACTTGTTTCACCAGCTCCTCCGTGTTCGACAGAAGTGTGCTAGAAGTAAACATTTTACAACGCATTAGTTTCTTAATCAATATCGTTTTTTAATTAATATCTTAAGTAAGTTATTAGAGTGGTCGCAAGTGCGACTGCCGGGCAAGCGGTCTCGGGTTCGATTCCCGGGTTGGGCAAAGTATTACTGGGTTTTAAAAATTCTCAGTAGTAGCACGGAGTCTGGAATTGTGCCCGGTACATGGCAATAGGCTCACCCCCTATTACATGGGACTCATAACACAAATAATGAAAAGTGGGTGTTACATTGTACAGAGGCATAAGTGCACCTCTGCCTACCCCTTCGGGGATAAAAGACGTGATGTTACGTTATGTTATGTTATCTTTAGTGTGGGAGAGCCTTACTTCGTCACGAATAGACCACCTCAACCGGAGTGATACACGGGCTCACAGAACAGCGACGTGAAACTTAAGTGTGGGAGAGCCTTACTTCGTCACGAATAGACCACCTCAACCGGAGTGATACACGGGCTCACAGAACAGCGACGTGAAACTTAAGTGTGGGAGAGCCTTACTTCGTCACGAATAGACCACCTCAACCGGAGTGATACACGGGCTCACAGAACAGCGACGTGAAACTTAAGTGTGGGAGAGCCTTACTCCGTCACGAATAGACCACCTCAACCGGAGTGATACACGGGCTCACAGAACAGCGACGTGAAACTTAAGTGTGGGAGAGCCTTACTCCGTCACGAATAGACCACCTCAACCGGAGTGATACACGGGCTCACAGAACAGCGACGTGAAACTTAAGTGTGGGAGAGCCTTACTCCGTCACGAATAGACCACCTCAACCGGAGTGATACACGGGCTCACAGAACAGCGACGTGAAACTTAAGTGTGGGAGAGCCTTACTCCGTCACGAATAGACCACCTCAACCGGAGTGATACACGGGCTCACAGAACAGCGACGTGAAACTTAAGTGTGGGAGAGCCTTACTTCGTCACGAATAGACCACCTCAACCGGAGTGATACACGGGCTCACAGAACAGCGACGTGAAACTTAAGTGTGGGAGAGCCTTACTTCGTCACGAATAGACCACCTCAACCGGAGTGATACACGGGCTCACAGAACAGCGACGTGAAACTTAAGTGTGGGAGAGCCTTACTTCGTCACGAATAGACCACCTCAACCGGAGTGATACACGGGCTCACAGAACAGCGACGTGAAACTTAAGTGTGGGAGAGCCTTACTCCGTCACGAATAGACCACCTCAACCGGAGTGATACACGGGCTCACAGAACAGCGACGTGAAACTTAAGTGTGGGAGAGCCTTACTTCGTCACGAATAGACCACCTCAACCGGAGTGATACACGGGCTCACAGAACAGCGACGTGAAACTTAAGTGTGGGAGAGCCTTACTCCGTCACGAATAGACCACCTCAACCGGAGTGATACACGGGCTCACAGAACAGCGACGTGAAACTTAAGTGTGGGAGAGCCTTACTCCGTCACGAATAGACCACCTCAACCGGAGTGATACACGGGCTCACAGAACAGCGACGTGAAACTTAAGTGTGGGAGAGCCTTACTCCGTCACGAATAGACCACCTCAACCGGAGTGATACACGGGCTCACAGAACAGCGACGTGAAACTTAAGTGTGGGAGAGCCTTACTTCGTCACGAATAGACCACCTCAACCGGAGTGATACACGGGCTCACAGAACAGCGACGTGAAACTTAAGTGTGGGAGAGCCTTACTTCGTCACGAATAGACCACCTCAACCGGAGTGATACACGGGCTCACAGAACAGCGACGTGAAACTTAAGTGTGGGAGAGCCTTACTTCGTCACGAATAGACCCCTCAACCGGAGTGATACACGGGCTCACAGAACAGCGACGTGAAACTTAAGTGTGGGAGAGCCTTACTTCGTCACGAATAGACCACCTCAACCGGAGTGATACACGGGCTCACAGAACAGCGACGTGAAACTTAAGTGTGGGAGAGCCTTACTTCGTCACGAATAGACCACCTCAACCGGAGTGATACACGGGCTCACAGAACAGCGACGTGAAACTTAAGTGTGGGAGAGCCTTACTTCGTCACGAATAGACCACCTCAACCGGAGTGATACACGGGCTCACAGAACAGCGACGTGAAACTTAAGTGTGGGAGAGCCTTACTTCGTCACGAATAGACCACCTCAACCGGAGTGATACACGGGCTCACAGAACAGCGACGTGAAACTTAAGTGTGGGAGAGCCTTACTTCGTCACGAATAGACCACCTCAACCGGAGTGATACACGGGCTCACAGAACAGCGACGTGAAACTTAAGTGTGGGAGAGCCTTACTCCGTCACGAATAGACCACCTCAACCGGAGTGATACACGGGCTCACAGAACAGCGACGTGAAACTTAAGTGTGGGAGAGCCTTACTCCGTCACGAATAGACCACCTCAACCGGAGTGATACACGGGCTCACAGAACAGCGACGTGAAACTTAAGTGTGGGAGAGCCTTACTCCGTCACGAATAGACCACCTCAACCGGAGTGATACACGGGCTCACAGAACAGCGACGTGAAACTTAAGTGTGGGAGAGCCTTACTTCGTCACGAATAGACCACCTCAACCGGAGTGATACACGGGCTCACAGAACACCGACGTGAAACAACGCTTGCGTTGTTTCTCGTCCAACTGACCTAAGTACTCAAGTCACCAACCAACCAAAAATCGTATCAGTATACTCACAGTGAATTCTTGACAATCTCGTCAACGTGTTTCTGGGTATCAGCAGAGATTTCAGTGGCGACTGGCACCAGATCAGGGTGTTCCACCAAGGAGGCAACATTGCTCACGTCGTGCATCAAATCTGCTACCTTTGATGTTATCACCACCTGTAACAACAATGTAATTTCTAATTATAAATTTGAAACTGCCAAACCGCATAGCAAGCGTGTTGTGTAATGCTCAAACATGGCTCAAACCTTCTCCGTGTGAGAAAAGGCCTTTGGTCAGCGGTGGACACTGATTCATGCACGAGAGGACGCTATTTTTTATGGCATAAGCCGGTAAACGAGCAGTCGGATCACCTGATGGTAAGCAATCGGCGTCGCCCATGGACACCTGGAACACCAGAGGCGATACAAGCGCGTTATCGGCCTTTTGGGGATTAGGAGTTTGAGGATCGTTGGGGATTCAGGAATTGGGGACATTGTTGAAGGGGAGGGTAATTGGGCCTCCGGTAACCTCACTCACATGACGAAACACAACGCAAGCGTTGCTTCACGTCGGTTTTCTGTGAGGTATCACTCCGGTCGAGCCGGCCCATTCGTGCCGAAGCATGGCTCTCCCACAGCGATAACAAGCTATGCTTCGGCACGAATAAGCTAGTTCGATTGTAGTGACAGCACGGCCTCACGGAAAACCGACATGAAATTAGGGTTTTAATCGTGAAATTGACGTTACTGGAGGCACAATCACCCCCTCCTCCATTCTCCAAAAGCCACAAACTAGAGGAGTTAGGTATTGCAGGCTTCATGAGTAGCAGCGATTGCTTACCAGCATGATAACTTAACGGATTACCAGTACATAGATAACCATCAGCTCCTTTATCCACCTTTTATTGGTATTTATTATCTCTTCTTTTCTGGTTTCATGGTAAACTTGATATTCAAGTAAATAGCTGCGGAACATACCTTGTTTTCAAATTCATATTCTATGGCTTCCTCCAGCCTATTATGAGAGTTCAGCAGGTCATTAGTGCACTCTTTCAGCATCTCTTTCAGTTCTCCTTCCTTGGTCTTCTCAATGGCGTCCATCATGGTGTCCTCCAGATCCTTCATTTGGCTCTTGAGAGTCTTCTTCTCTTCTGCTACCTGTAATAAATCATAGTAGGTGAGAATGTTTGAGGAACCGACAAACAGCTAATATTTTTCATAGTAGAGGATCAGATTAGATGGATCACCTAATGATAAACCATCTGTGCCGCCTATAAGTGTCTGACAATCAGAAAAGTTATAAATACATTTCCAGCCTTTTATGGATTACAGATTTTGAGATTAGGGATTTGGGGAAGTAGGGTATTGCTGATCGGAAATGGAAGATCAGATATAAATGGACCAACAAAACATCGAAAGAATATAAGAAAGAATTGTATTGTGAACCTGATTGAAAAAGAGTAACCTATGGAGTTTCTTACTCGTTCTTCTCCATTTTTTATTTTGACGTGGTGCTTTCCAGGGCGCTTACTCTTGAAACCAATCTCAATGTCATTGCAATTTCAATCCAATAAAATGTCAATAATTATTCAATGTTAATACTATACAACCACAATCGTAGCTGAAAATATTGGTTGCCTGTAAAGTCGGTATACGGGCTAAAGTTTTACGTGACAACGACTTTGAGTGGTAAAATAATTTTAATGTGAATATTCATTCGTATAGTAGGAAGAAGGATGTATCTCTCTCTCTCTCGCTCTGTCTCTCTCGCTCTTAGGCGGGCTAACCATGCCCGAGTGGAAGGGACGCGTGCCTCTCACTCGCTCTCATTGTGAGCGCATAACGTGAGCGGAGCGTAACGCAGTTTCTTGAAGTGTCACCCGGCAAACCAATTTATAAGAAGTTGTCACGTCAAAATAATATAGTACAGACTATAAAGTCAAACTCAATACCATTTAGTTCATTCAATATCCGTGCAATACGAATGCAATGGGCGCTAGTGCTGCAATTCAAGAGTACGAAATTTCACAATACCATTGTCGATCGATCGGAATTGGATTCAAGAGCTTACTGTCTACTATCGACCTCTGGTCTAACTGAAATGTGAACTGGGCCCTATTAAATAAATTGAAATTATAAAAAAGTAATATCACGCCTTATACGCAGAGGTGCACTTATGCCTCTGTACAATGTAACACCCACTTTTCACTATTTGTGTTATGAGTCCCATGTAATAGGGGGTGAGCCTATTGCCATATACCGGGCACAATTCCAGACTCCGTGCTACTACTGAGAATTTTTAAAAACCCAGTAATACTTTGCCCAACCCGGCAATCGAACCCGAGACCCCTTGCCCGGCAGTCGCACTTGCAACCACTCGGCCAACGAGGCAGTCTATAAAATAGTCTGCTCACTTATATAGCATCTTATCTTATATCTTATACTATTACATAAAGCGGAACGTTTGAACGCGCTAATCTCTTTAACTACAAGTCTCATTTGAATAATTCTTTTTGTGTTGGATAGCGCATTTATCGAGGATAGCTATAGGCTATAAAACATCACGCTACGACCAATAGGAGCTGAGCAGAGCGTGTGAAACCGCGCGGAAGTAGCTAGTATCATATAAGGTTCAAACCTGTATATCATCATTAGTGATGATTATAGAGATGCAGGTGTCTTCGACTGCTTGAATAGTCTTCTGCAGCTTGCCTACGTCCACCGGGCCCTTCAGACCAATTGACTTATCTTGGTCTGATACTGATATCTGCGAATAGAAGAACAACGGAATTATAGTCATTATAATGCCAGTTGGACAGGTATAATGTCAAATTACTTACAGTTTTATATACATACAGGTTACATGAAATCAAGGTCAATTCATTATTATAAAAGTACGTCACAAATAACCTTTCATCATAGATGTTCTTTTATGTAGTGGAATTCTTTGCCAGGGTCTATATTTCCTGAAGACTGTTTTCAAGGCTATAAATTGTAGATAAGTTGCTTATGGACAGGCGTGCTGCATCGTTGGCCATTCACATCACACACATCACCAGCCTATAAATGCCCACTGCTGAGCAAAGCCTGTACTCACACGAAGAAGATTTGAGCATTAATCACCACGCTTGCTCAATGCGGGTTGGCCGTTTCAAACTTATAATTAGAAATGATAAGTCCAGGGTTCCTCACGGTGTTTTCCTTCACAGTTTGTCAGTGATCTTATAAAATATATATAACTGGGAAAAAGTAACATTGGTACTTGCCGTTGGTAGGTTTCGAACCCGCACCCTCATGCATGACAAGCGGGCGTCTTAACCTTCGAGCCACCACGACACTCATTCAATCAACATGTGCCATGGCGTTGGTCATTGTGTACAATGAACAATAAACAAAAGCTTGTTAAAAGATAAAGTATGTCTGACCAGGTAGGCAGCCTGAGCAGCGCACTCCGCACTGTTGTTGACGGCACTCACTGCGTAGTTCATGCTCTTCAAGAACTCCTCGCGAGACATCGCCTCATCACTGTTCAGCTTTTCTGTTTAATAATAAATAACAAAACTGTATTTTCAAGTATTGTTATGAAATATGAGGAATTCATACTTATATAGGTACACACAACATAAGGGAAACAAGATTAGTGGAGGGCAACGTTACTAGAAAAAAAAGTAACTTTTATTGATTATAGAATTAGATTACATTTTTCTCAATAAAAAGAAAGAGATTCTCAGTAGTATCACGGAGTCTGGAATTGTGCCTGGTATCCATATATCAATGGGTAATAGGCTCACCCTCAATTACATGGGACTCATAACATAAAAAATGAAAAATGGGTGTTACATTTTACAGTGGCACCTTTGCCTACCCCTTCGGGGATAAAAGGCGTAATGTTATGTATGTAAATTCTTAGGTAAGTGATTAATTTTCTATGGATTTACGCAAAGTAATGCCTCAATCTATTTTGTAAATCAAAGAACTTTTAAACAGAGTCCAGTAATAGCCGTGTGGGTACTAACTGAGCACGTCCAGTTGCGAGTGCATGGTGTGCAGACTGAGTGCGTAGGACGAGGCGGCGGGCGGGCGCGGCGCGGCCTGCAGCATGCCGCGGTGCAGCGCCAGGCTCCTCCCTGCCTCGCCGCATGCACGCCCCACCGTCGTCTTCTGCCCCGTACCTGTACTACGCACCTACGTAGAGATAGAGATAAAGATCGTTTTATAAGTGTGTCATGAGTATAGAAGACACAAGTACAGTCATGGTAAGCCATTATGACGTACAAATTATATAGAAAAAAAATGTTTATAACACAAAATTAATATAATGATACATGAACTAATAAGAATAACACAGAAAAGGTAATCGAAATAATAAAGCCATCAGGGCACATGTCCGACAAAAAGCTCACAACCAACTGTCAATTCAATTTGCAAATGATGTCTATTAAATTAAAATGTACTTGTTGTAATGTATCAAGAAGACCACTGACTTTCAGACTACATTATCCACTTACTATGCCTACGCATATGCGTGGCTTAGCTACGGAATTATTTTGTGGGGAAATAGCACAGACACACCTTCTCTTTTCACTCTTCAAAAAAAACTTATCCGCATCCTAACTAATATAGACCAAACTGATAGTTGTCAACCCTACTTTAAAAAACATCAAATACTTACCTTACCATGCATCTACATTCTGGAAATATGTAAATTTGTGAGAAACAATATTGCCTTCTTTACAAAACGTGGAGACAAACATGCAAACAGATCACTAAGACATAAAAACCGACTACTGTTACCTACTTCTAATATGAGTCTACATTCCAATAGTCCGTATGTAATGTCTATAAAAATATATAATAAGCTACCAGAAGCCCTAAAGGAAGAACCCAGAAATATAAAATTTACCAATAAATTAAAACAATCATAAATAAAGCATATTATAATATTAAAGAATATATTAATGATAAAGATTTAAAATAAATACTGTAATTAAAAATTAAATATATGTACGACATATATAATATTAATGATTAAATCACCTATTACAATACACATATTTAATATATATAACGAAATTGAACAAAATAACTACTTATAACTAGTAATAAAAAATCTGCGATACATAATCTAAATAAAATTAGCGTCCTCCTCTCTTCTACGTTGCCGTGCCCTACAGGGTCCATACTGTACTATATTATTATGTAACACCTTATAAACATATGGAGTGCAATAAACGTATTGAGTATTGAGTATATAAATAGACAAGTCATCATCAGTACATGGCCAACTTTTCTTATAGTGTTCACGAAAATCACTTGAAAATTTAACTAACTTTTGCGGAACCGTAAACTTTACATTTGAGACGTTTATTAGATGCATATCTATTATTTTACTAAGTGAAAATGTGTTGATAAGACACCACTCTTGTAGAAAGTTTAAAAAAAAAATTACATTGACAGTTTTTGTTAGAGCATATCGGGAATAATCTGAACAAAACGAAAATTGGTCATAACTTTTGAAGCCATCATGCTGCAAGGGACATCCTGTATAATTATTATGTAGTTTTTTTTTTAAGGGGGGAAAATCATCGAATGACTGCTCCCGCCTGGGTGAGGCGGAAGGGAGTGTCAGACTCTTACTGACTAAAAACCACCCCGTTCCTTCTCCTGCACGTCGAGCCGGAGCCCCGGTTACCCCTTAGGTTCTCCGCGACTCCGAATATTATTATGTAGTTAACACTTAAATAACACAAACCAGTTTGTTGATGGAGTCGTTGAGATGACGGCACGCTTCCAGCAGCTTCCTCTTGGAGTCGTGATGATTTGGTTCCTACAAATTAAACTGTGTGTAATAACTATTGTAAGACATAATCATTAACTAAAATCAGTTTGCTGCGCGAGGTCTCGCTGCTCATAATTAAGAGTCCCAATGTGACTCGAAACCAGTAGAGCTTTTCTCAAACATAATTCACTTGAGTAAACCATAATTTTACTTAACACTAAGGTAACCTCAATATTACCTGACAGACTAGTTCAGAAGTCTTCATCAGGCTGTAGGTAGAAAGACACATCTCATGTGCAGCATCCTCGATCAGTTTACATTGAGCTGGTCTCTGAAATAGGAGAACGGTTATACTTGACCTATTTTCTTTTTAACAACAACGTTTCAAAAAATTTAGACGTCGTTTGTTTATTTGAATATGCAAATTTTTGGAATCTGCTGGATAGTCTATCTATTGACAAACTTTACAGGTCATATAAGACATCACATTAGAAGAACAATAGATGGAAAACTTGTGGGAGTAGTTCATTTGTCCATATTAGAGTGAGAATCCCCACTGCTCATACCTTTCTATCAGCCAATGCGCGTGCAGTGTTGGCGAGCTGCAGGGCGGCCTGCCCCGCGGCGTGCAGGCTGCGCGCCAGGCTGCTCGGGGTGCTCACGCTCAGCACCACCGTGCTGCCCATCGAACTCAGCTTCGACGACAACTGCTGCAGCTTCTCTTCCAGTTGCCTGTACGAATCCATCATCATTATCACTGTTATATCAACTACAAGAAGTCCACTGCTGAACATAGACTTCCCCCATTTTTAAGGGGAGAAAATCATTGAATAACTTCTGGGTGAGGCGGGAGGGAGTGTCAGGCTCTTACTATCTAAAAACCACCCCGTTTCTACTCCTGAACATCGAGCCGGAGCCCCGGTAACCTTTTACGTTCTCCGCGGCTCCGTAGACTTCCCCCATTGACTTCCAGATAGGCCAGTTGGTAGCGGCGTTTACCAGGTCGTCTGTCTACCTTATGGGTCGAATTCGTACGCTACGAATGCCGGAACTAGGCTTCCATTCAAGATACATTAAATTAGGGTATCTCTTACAGCGAATAAAAAGTGACCATAGAATAAAATGCATTTGCTACCACCCCTTCACCAGTCGGCAAGTCGTAAGAGCCCATCATCCATTATGGCAAACGAGGGGTTTGTGGAATATGCTCTAAGCCCTGCAGTGGACTGTCACAGTCTAGTTTGAGTAAAAATGTACTCAATATGTTCCAACATTCAAATATATTGATATAACTTCTACTATTATTACAATTTACTCTTAATTTTTTTTAAGAAAATACCTTATCCACACTAGAATTGTTTCCTGTATCGTGGGTGCGTTTACAAACATACAAATTAACATACACATGACACCCAGACCCGAAACAACAATTTGTGGATCAAACAAAGATTTGTTCCGTGCGGGAATTGAAGTAGCGACACATTGCACGGCAGCCAGTTGCCCAGTGACCGCACTAACTGTGCAGTCGATTTCATTTTTCATATACGATACCGATCTTATAACCTACGAAAGCATGGTGGCAAGGTGATGCACTTACTTGGGAGTGCCCTCTACAGTTTCTCGTGGGCATAGCAGCAGCCTATCAATATCGTCGCTGTTCAGTACCTGGGTCGATACCTTCCTTGGGTAGAGCTTGTAGTCCAGCTCATTAAGTTCCTGAAATATAATGGAAACAGTTTCATTCCAAAAAGAAAATGAAATGGTGTGAATTACGTTGTACTGGTATTGTAACCAAGAATCTAATTCAAGAGTTTATGGTTGACAGTCATTATGTTGCATGTGAGAGTGACCTACCCATGAGGCAAACATATATTTACTCAGTCAACTATGAGCCTTTATGTGGCGCAGGTTTTTAAACCAACTTGGAAATATTTTTTGATATGTATGGAAACAACTAAACTGATTTTATCTGACTGGCCACCCAAGTTCTTCAGTAGATACCAGGCATCCTCTTAAACCTAAGTAGCCTACGCTTCCAAAATCGCCTGGCGTTTGATATGGCGATTGATGCATAACATAACATTACGCCTTTTATCCCCGAAGGGGTAGGCACTGCAGAAGTGCACAATATGCCACTGTACAATGTAACACCCATTTTTCACTATTTATGTTATGAGTCCCATGTACCAGGGAGTGAGCCTATTGCCATATACCGGGCACAATTCCAGACTCATTGCTACTGAGATTTTTTTAAAAACCCAGTAATACTTTGCCCGACCCGGGAATCGAACCCGGGAGTCGCAATTGTGACTACTCGGCCAACGAGGCAAGATTGATGCACAGTAAAGTATTTAAGCTAGAGGTAAATAATATACAAACCTTTAGACATTTGCTTGCTTTTTGGTTGGGTTCGTAGGCCGCTATATTCCTACTCAATGTGCAAGCACTTGTAATCCTGTCTGTCAAATCCACTATTCTACTTAAATTCGATGTGTATCTGTAAAATAAATTATCACAATATTTCTAACTAGCTAAAATATAGTATAGTGTGTTACGGATGATAGACTTTTTTTTAGTGTATTTTAAGAGTCTAGCCTTGACCAATGTCTGGAGTCCTGGCCTCATAGAAAACCGGAGTAAAACAACGCTTGCGTTGTATTTCGCCAACTAATTGAGGTTATCAGAGGCCCAATCCCGAAATCAAAATGCTTATCAACAGGCCGACAAAGCACTTGTAACTTGACTGGTATTGCAGGTGTTCATGGACGGCGCCGATTGCTTACCATCAGGTAATCCGTCTGCTTGGTTATCCATCCTTAAATTTTCGAAGGTGTATGAAGAGAACTCTTTAAATCAGAAAGGGAGCCGATCTATTTAGATTGATCCCTATAAGAGCTGATGATGACCATCAACATAGTGTAAATGATGTAAGGACCAGTCATACTCCTTCATCTTTCTCTCCAGAACCAATTGGAGGATTCAAAAAAAGACACTAACATATTCTCCTTAACGACATGTTCCGCCAATTCCAAAGGTACTTCTTCGACTTGTTCCTTGGGCGTTAAATGTTCAGGGACTTGCTCAACTTGTTCCATCACTTTCGGGGCTTCGTAATCTTGTGCCATCATCATCGCAGGAGGTCCAGCAGCGCTGGAGACTGCATAGTGTGTGACGGCGCGCACGAGGTCGTGCGGCTCCCCGCGCGCGGCGCGCTGCCCCGCCGCCACCAGCCGCGAGCTGGCGCGGGCCAGGCAGCACTGGGAGCCCAGGGTACTCGCGTATGACTAGTACAAACAAATTATAAAGCTATAGCGAAACCAAAGAAAAAGATATGTTATAAATATCGATTGCACTACCAAGACAAAATCACTCAGCTGCTGGAAAGTAATCATGATCGTTTGCAGTGTAATTCATATCTAGATTTTTTTTTGACTGCCTCATTGGCCGATTGGTCGCAAGTGCGACTGCCGGGCAAGGGGTCTCGGGTGCGATTCCCGGGTAAGGCAAAGTATTACTAGGTTTTTAAAAAAAATCTCATTAGTAGCACAGAGTCTGGAATTGTGCCCGGTATATGGCAATAGGCTCACCGCCTATTTACATAACATACCTCTAAATAGTGAAAAGTGGGTGGCACATTGTACAACGGCATAATGTGCACCTCTGCCTACCCCTTCGAGGATAAAAGGCGTGATGTTATGTTATGTTATGTGTTTTTTTTTTCAGGAATAGTAATTACGTAAACTAACTAACTGCGATCTTCAGGTCATGCTAACAGATTAATGGTAACCAATCCATAGAGGGCTAGCCATACTTTGCTTTGTTCAGCAGTAAAAACATAATCCTCCCCTTCTTGTATTCTTGGTTCATCTTTACAAAAAGTAATTTCGAGTACCTTGGTTTGCTTGACGCTGTTCTTGGCAGCTTCCTCAGCCAACGTGCTCATCGTGGTACTCTTGAAGTGGTCCAGGTTTTGCATAATCTCGTTATATGCTGTGCTCTGGGTCGCCATTATATGACTCTTTGCTGCGAATCTATTCGGTAAAAGAAAAATTATTATAACTGGCTTCTGCTACCAATTTAGCTCGCATTATCAGGGTGAAAAATACCCTAATCTATTCCTAATAAGGAATACGTTACCTTAGCAAATGGCAGCTCTCCAACATCGGCAGTGACTTGGCCAGGAGCTCCTGTTTAGTCTTTTGATCCTGAACGCCTTGGATCGAGTTGTTTATCTCCTTTACCAAAGTATCACACTCCTGTAAATAGAATCAGTACTTAGAAGCTGAAAGACGGTGTCCTAAAAATCAATCAAGGAACTGCATATTTAAGAGAGCCTGAACTTTTTAACCTAATGATGTGGAGTGGACTGGAGGTGTGGAGACTATCGCCATAGCTGGGCATTAACTCGTTAATCCGTTAACCAACGAAGTCATTTTGATTAACGGATTAACTTTTAAAAATGTTAACGGACACGTTATCTTCCGTTAAAATGCAGAAGTCCATTAATCGTTAATCCTGTACGAGCGCCTGATGGATATACCATAGCAACGACGTGTGCTTAGTATAATGTTAGCAATTAAGTAGTTGTATTTATTTTGTATGTACCGACGCTAATCTCCTTACTCATTCATGCTAATGATGACATCGACGACAAACAAATTTCACTACCTGAGAGCATCTCTCGAAGGTACTGCTGCGATAGTAATTAAATCTGTTGAGTTTTCGTCGAGCAACTACTCTGTGGCATGGAAGTTGTTACGAGATCGATTTGACAACAAGAGATTACTGGTACAAAATCATGTATCTGCCCTGTTTCATATTGAGTCGCTTTCAAAGGAATCTTCTGTTGCATTAAAGAGCTTAATCGATCAGCTGAATAAAGATTTCCGAGCTTTTGAATCTTTAGGGGAGCCAGTAAAGCAGTGGGGCACGCTGCTCATTTACATTGTCACTCGTAAGCTTGACCAAAAGACGTATCGTGAGTGTAAAGGTAGGTTAGACAAAGTCACCCCGATTACATTTGAAGTCTTTATGCAATTCTTACGTAGTCGAGCCGATATAATCGAGACATTAGAAATATCTCGCACAAATAATTCCCAACCGGTAGTTAAAACAGGTCCTAAAATTAAGTCTATGGTAGCTACACAGTCTCCTACTAGTTCTATCACTGAATTAACTTCTAAAGTATGTCCTAAATGTAACAACACTGATCACACGCTAAATACTTGTCCACAGTTTCTCGCTTTAACAAATGATGTTCGACTTAAATTACTACCCAATTATAAAATTTGTTACAATTGTCTTCGCTCGGGTCACTACGCTAACAAATGCAAGAAGCCAGGTTGTAAATTATGCAAACATAGGCATAACACACTGATTCACACAGATTTTAAAGGCACTATTTCGGGTACACTTAATGATAATAACACTGCTAATAACTTGTCTACCTCGTCTTCGTTACCGTCTGCTCCCACTGAGACAAATAACATCGCGTTATCAGCACATATTGCGTCCTCCAGTGGTCATATGCAGCGAGACGTGTTGTTATCAACCGCTCTGGTCAAGGAGCGCGACCGCAATCATTGTGTGCATCTCGTTCGCGCAGTCCTCGATAGCGGCAGCACATCGTCATTCATAATGAACCGGTGATTAGACAATTAAACTTACAAACTAGCCAGGTAAATAGGTGTATACTTGGTATTAATAATCTCACGTCCAACGTAGGCAAACTATGTCGATTTAAAATAGAATCGTTAAATGATGACTTCGAACTTCATTGTTTTGTGTTGCCATACATTACTAGTAATGTTCCGTGTCGTGAAATAAATATTTGTAACTTTAATATTCCACCGAATCCAGGTTATCCCTTTGAGAGCACCGGCGTTGATTACGCCGGGCCTATCATGTGTGCCAGTCGTCAAGGCCGTGGATGCAGGCTGGTAAAGGTATATATCGCAATTTTTATTTGTTTTACAACCAAAGCGCTTCACTTGGAGCTTGTTGGTGATTTATCTAGCAATAGTTACTTACTAGCTTTGCATCGATTTATTTCTAGAAGAGGTAAACTAATTAATATTTTCTCTGACAATGGTACCTCGTTTGTTGGTGCGTACAATGACTTATCTAAGTTTTTAAAGGCTAATAGCTCGTCCTTGGGTGAAAGTGCGGCGAATGATGGAATAAAATTCCATTTTTTTTGAACGAACGAAGCGAGAAAGAACGAAACGAAAGCTGTTTTGAACTCTCGTCCATTAACGCCATTGTCATCGGATCCTGCAGATTATACTCCACTGACGCCCGGTCATTTTCTTGTTGGGAGACCCTTGACTTCTTTACCGCAGCCTGACTACCGGGATCATTCTATAAACCATCTGTCTCGATTCCAAAGAATAGAGCAACTACGCCAGCATTTCTGGAGCAGATGGAGCAAGGAGTATGTATCCGAACTGCAGGTGCGGACCAAGTGGCACTCCTCCAAAGATGCTTTAAGGCTGAACCTTGGCGGTGATTAAGGAAGACAATCTTCCTCCTTTAAAGTGGAGACTAGGACGAATTGTGGCTGTTCACCCAGGAACAGACGGCATTGTTCGAGTAGCTGATATACAGATGTCTACGGGAGTCATTCGGAGGGCGTTCAAAGAGGGCCTGATGGATATACCATAGCAACGACATGTGCTTAGTATAATGTTAGCAATTAAGTAGTTGTATTTATTTTGTATGTACCGACGCTAATCTCCTCACTTGTTGTGCTGCACTCGTTGAGTTAACACCTCATAAAATTTCTAATTGCTGAGTATTTTTGAGTCTTTTCCTGCGAATCCCTGGCCAATACAAATCCAATGCCTACTATTTACCGCACGGCACCGCGGCGCGGCGCGAAAAACAGGTTCAGAAAAGTATGAAATGACCAGAGCCGGGCGGCGCGTGGCAGCGCGTGAAACAAAAACAAAACTAGATATATTTGGCCGGCGCGTGCGAGTGAGAAACCTGCGAAGAATTTTTTTTTAGTTTTTTAAGTTCACTAAAGAAACGATATAAAAATGTAATTTTACACATATTAACGGATTAACGATTAACGTTAAGTTGCGTTAATTCTTCCGAAATGTAACGCTTTAACGTTTAATGAAGCTAACTGTTTTTGTAGCGGATTAACGATAAACGAAGTTAACTATTTGATTAACGGTGGCCAGCTATGACTATCGCAAACACAGAGGTGTTTGCGATCATCTGTACATAAGAGTATGTACAGATGATCTCTTATGTTATGTTGTGGGCTGTCATTCGATATTAATAGATAACTTAGATAATAAAAAATTAAGTTATTCTTACCTGTCCAAACAAGTCGATATCAAGAATATCATCGACGGTGTTCATAACAGTGACACTCTGACCGAAGTTATCGTTCGGGTTCAACAACCTCGACGCATCCTCGCTAATCTTACTGCAGAGCATAGTGATGTCCTGTCCAAACAAATAATAGTTATGTGCCGTCAGCCAAGTTATGCAAGTGAGTAAATAAAAATTTATATTCTTCAGAGACTATGGACTTAATTGTAACTGCAGTCATAGCCTAAATTCAATTGAAAAACTTCTTGACTTACCTCACTGGTCCTCTTGCCTATAGGTCCCTCATTCTTCCTGACCGTCTTCTGAAGGTCTCCAGCTTCATTTACTAGGTCTTGCAAGAAGTCCTGAAAGTCAAATGTAGTTATTATTATGTTAAAAATTCTACAGTAACGGTATAAGTAAGGTGCTAAGAAGCCCTTATGTATTTAATATAAACGATTAGTAAATCGCTTTGTAAAATTGACGATACCAGATTGGGGCTGGATGTTGTTCACAATGAATTGAAGAAACTGAGAAAATTGGGAAGGCGGAGCGTTTTTAATACACGCTCACACGCTAAACGTTTCGGCGGCGACTGTTGGCGCGAACGCGGTGCCCACTTGAGGGAGGCGTTGAAAGGGCTACGATGTTTCATTACGCTTAAAATTTTTGCGCAAAAACAACATGTAACCACCATTTTTCTTGCTACGCTTCGAGCGTAATTTTGAATTACAAAAGAGGTTATTAGCAAAGAGTTACCTACAATGCAATAACAATCTTTTGTACATAAGTTCTACACAATCAAGTGACCTCATGCTACACCAGCGATCCTATTAGTAAACTCATTGGTTACCCTCATTCCTCCCCACAGATATGGTGCACAGGATACATACCCTGAAGTCCACAATATTGTTCTGTTCCTGTCCAGCTTTAGCAGGTCTGGACTGCAGCACCGTCATCTGCAGCTCGTCGATCGTCATCTCGAATTCATTACGTTTGTTTATGTCCTAAAAAAGGGTATCAATTTATTAAGTCAATATAGAGACTCAGTTTCCCCCTTCCCTCCTTCCTCCGGTCCCAATTTGCAATCTTTAAATCCCTAACCATCAAGAGGCAAGTAATGTGACTGTGATGACTGCACGGTTGGTGCGGTGGCTGGACAACCGGCCGCCGTGCAACGTGTCGCGGGTTCGATTCCCGCACGGAACAACACTATGTGTGATCTACAAATTGTTGTTCCGGGTCTGGGTGTCATGTGTATGTGAACTTGTATGTTTGTAAACATACCCACGACACAGGAGAAAATCCTAGTGTGGGGCAACGTTTTATATAAAAGGAAGAAAGAAAAGAAAGAATGTACTTTAAACTCGTCTGGTTTTTTGATGTCATATCCATGAGCGGCACTACAAGATAAGGCGGCAAACGAGCAGATGGATCATACGATGATATGCAATGCTCATGGACATCCGAAATACCGGTGGAGTTTCAAGTGTATTACCTTCGGCAAGGTGGATTGAGAATTGGTACTCCGATAACTTCACTCACACGTTGAAACACAATGAAAGCTTCGTTGTTCTACGTCGGTGTTCTATGAGGCCCTGGTAACCTTCGGTCTAGTTGGTCCATTCATACCAGAGTATGGTCGCCTATATCAAAAGTTTTGTATTTACTCATTAGTCAGTACTTACATGAGGAGCTCGTTGGTACCGCGCGTTCGCCAGGTCCAGAGCGCGCAGAGCCTCTTCCAGCTTGCCGCAGTAATTTGTGTATTCCTTCTTGGTCTGCGAGCTCATAGTTTCGTCTCGTACCATGTTCTGAATGAAAATTGGTAGTTATTGTACTAAATAATAAAACATGTTAATTATAATTAATTTACATAAAGTTATTTGTGATTAAAAACTAAGTTACATAAACATTCGTATCACATACCATCAGAATCAAAGCAGTTACAGCAGGAGAGTATCCTAGGCTGTCAGCGTCACGTCTTGAGCCAATAAAATTAATAAGCACTTTGAAATATTAGTTAGGATAGTAAAAAATATAGTTAAAACTTTATATTAGTGACAAATATTAATGAAATATTTAGCAGATTGAGTTAAGATATAAAGCACATAAGTTGCACGGTTTGTATAACCGATAAAGTAACTCGACTAGTTTCGAGCTATGCTAGGGACCCATAAATGATCCATGAATGGCATGAGTTGCCTCATGGAGAAACTAAGTGTATGTAAGCCATAGTACATAATTAAATTAACATTTATCTCGCGTTAAGTCACTACAAAAACTGTAAGCGAATAGAAATTTTATTTATTGATATACTGACCTTAGCATTGTCAATGATCTTCTGAGTCAAATTCCTCAAGGGGAAGTCCAGGTCCACAACAGGGTCTACCTCCTTCCTCTTGCCAAGTTTACCAGCCCTTACATCTTTCCTCAACTTTTCTACCAGTTTCTCAAGATGACCAGCTTCTCCCAACAGTTTTTGGACATTAGGATGCTGGGTGGAAGCCAGAGGAGCCAGGGTGTTGGTGAAGGTAGTAAGAGATGATGACAGGCTATCTGCTGAGGATACCAGGGCATCCTGACAGGTTTCGTGGTGAATTGTCGGCGCGATAAGCTGTGAAAGAAAGGATTTTGTACATAACTTGTATTACAGTCATTACAGTAATTTGACGGAAGCTGAGAACGAAAGCGAATACTTTTTAAAGTGCTTTCGAAATTAAAAAGTGCCCGTTCTATAGAAATATTGAAAAGAACTAAGAATTATAATAAATGTCTCATGCGTGTTGATTCATAGGCCATTTTTAACAATGTCCTTTGTAAAAACGAGTAAGTAATTTCATAATAGAAGATTTATTTTTAAGATCAAAGATTAACTACAGCTTTTGAACATTACCGAAATACCGAAACCTAAGAAAATCAAATAATTATAACTTTTTAACTGCAAGATTCTTTGTAAAAAGAAGATGCAAGAAGAAGAATAACTTTTCTACCTTAGCAGTGTAGACGAGTTTCCCGGCGGAGTCGACGCAGCTAGTGCCGGCAGCACAAATATCCCGGACTTGCGAGTCCGCGGTCCCGGGATTGTTTGCCTCACTAGTGCTACTGGCCAAGCTCGTGGCTTCCAGAGCTAGCCTAGATGCAGCATCGCCTATTGCTTTAGCTCGCGATATCGCCTGAAAGTACAATAAACGTCAGATGGATAGACGATAAGTGATTACGTATAGATGATGGATGTTAGATGAAAGATGATGGATAATAAATGGATGGATGATTGATAGGCAGATGACAGATGATTAATGGATAATGGGTGGATATCACATACCTCTTTCTCCAGGGCAGGGTCCACATTACAGCTGACCACACGTAACAGTTTGACGGACTGGTCTCCGAACACTATGGCCGCGTCGTTCAGTTTCTGTCACAAATGGAGTACCATTATATTATGAGTCCTATTTATTAGAGTGCTAGCTTGCTGCCATATACCGGACGCAATGCAAGAAGATGAAGCTAAGAATTTTCGATAAACTTGACACATAACATAATATAAAATCACGCCTTTTAGGGGATAAAGGCGTGATGTTGCCGTTGTTGAAGGGGTAGGCAGAGGTGCACATTATACCACTGTCAATGTAACACCCACTTTTCACTATTTATGTTATGAGTCCCATGTAATAGGGGGTGAGCCTATTGCCATATACCGGGGAAAAGTCCAGACTCCGTGCTACTACTGAGATTTTTAAAAATCCAGTAATATTTGGCCCTTACCCGATAGTCGCACTTGCGACCACTCGACCAATGAGGCAGTCAAACTCACTTCTCTGTATTATAAGTTTATTTAAAAAAAATACTCACTTCCTTCTCCGACTTTGCAATGTCACAAAGGATTTTGGTCGATTGGCAGAGACCGATCATGTCCTCCAAGAACTTCTTGCGAGCCTCATCAGACATAGAAGTACAGATTGCGCTGCCATCTGCAAGATTTGAACAGTATCTTATGTATTACCGTCAATATAGGATAGGAGAATTTTCAACAATCAGACGAGTATTGAGATCATAGTTTAAAAGGTTAATTTAACAATTTTAATTCATCATCATCATCAATGCCCACTGCTAAGCAAAGCCTCTACTCACATGAAGAAGGTTTGAGCATTAATCACCACGCTTGTTCATTGTGGGTTGACGATTTCAAACTTATTAGAAATTATAATTCCAGGTTTCGTCACGGTGTTTTCCTTCACCGTTTGTCAGTGGCGTCTAAATAATATTAGAAAGTACATACATATAACTCGGAAAAAGTCACATTGGTACTTGCCAACCAACCGGTAGGTTTCGCACCCGCACCCTCAAGCATGAGAAGTAGGCGTCTTAACCTCCGGGCCACCACGACAATTGATTTAATTATATTAGCAGTTTTAATTGTGTTTTGTGTATTATGTTTGTAAACCTTTACGACTCAGGAAGAAATTCTAACGTGGGACGACGTTAAAGGAGAACATAAACTAGAATAAAATACACATTTTCAACAATATCATCGACACTTACCATTGACGACACTCCTGACACATTCTGTGAGTGATAAAGTGGGCTGCATTGCAGCTTTGTAGTCCAGCTTGTCTGCATCTGTGTCAAATAAATCAATATAATTTTAACATAACATAACATCACGCCTTTTATCCCCGCAGGGGTAGGCAGAGGTGCACATAGAAGTAACACCCACTTTTCACTATTTATGTTATGAGTCCCATGTAATAGGGGGTGAGTCTATTGCCATATACCGGGCACATTTCCAGACTCCGTGCGACTACTGAGATTTTTTTAAAAACCTAGTAATACTTTACCCGACCTGGGAATCGAACCCGAGACCCCTTGCCAGGCAGTCGTACTTCGCACTCGGCCAACATAATTATAATATCTTCAGAATTCTCACATAAGCAATATATAAACCAATCTATACTTCGAAATAACACATTGTTATTTTTAAATCATTTACCTTACTCTTTCTGAAACTTGTTTCTTTGTTTATTTTATGACCATCATTATGATACATACAATAAATTCGTTTGTACGCCTTACTCAACTGTTCAATGGGGTAGCTCAAAAATTGCAAGCTACGCAAAGGATCCATACACATATACGGCATTGTGTGACAACGCAATAATCTGCTCATTCAAAAAGGTATATTGATCATTCCACTTACAATTAGCCGAAACCAGTGCAGCCACTTCGATTCCTGCCTTCGCGAGGGTATCTTCCATGTGCTGTTCTCTCTTAACCACCTCCAAAGCCGGTAGGGTCTGACCAGCTATCGTCACGTTCTTAGCTTTATATAGCTGTAAATTCACAACATAAAAAATCTAGTGTAACGAACACACAGCGCCATCTAATATAATTTATCCAAAACAAGCACAACTACAAACGTCTATAATGAAGATTGAGCACACATACAAACCACCCGCCTTTATAAGCAGAGTTGTGCTCGAAGTAATCATCATTCTACTAGCTAGAGGATCAGAATTCGGTAGCCACGCAATCAATTTTGAACCTAAGTACAACGATACGATACTAACTCCAGTTCGATAGCCTAGCGGTCTTCTGGTATTCACCAGCTAGGGGAGGTCAGAAAGACGATAGCCACGCAGTCCCTTTCATCCCTCCAAGAGTTGTAACTATCTAACAGTGAAGTGGAAGTGGAAGTGGTAGTTGCCATAAATAAATAATCATCAAGATCACCGGACCTTGAATTTCACAACTAGCAACCCTTTTTTTAAGGGGGGAAAATCATCGAATGACTGCTCCCGCCTGGGTGAGGCGGAAGGGAGTGTCAGACTCTTACTGACTAAAAACCACCCCGTTCCTTCTCCTGCACGTTGAGCCGGAGCCCCGGTTACCGGTTAATTTTGTAATCTAAACGCTCCATTACCACTTTAAAGAGAGACAAACGAACAAATAAACACATTTTTGCATTTAAGTAAGAATATTCTATAACTTCTCCCGTTTAGAATCGGTTGAATTGCTTACCACTTGGAGCCCTTCCTCTGCAGATTTAAGTCCCCTTTCAGCATTCTCAATCATTTCTGAGAACTGCTTGTGTGCAAGCTTCTCTTCCTCAGCAGTTTTCGATGATTTGACGTGACCTCCTAATTGACCACCTATAAAAAAACATCCACTTCTGAATAACTTAAAGAATTTTTTTAGAATATTCGCATAAATTTTCAGTCGTATCTAATAAGTCATACAGACCAGATTCCTCTGCACGCATGGCATCAAGGAAGCTCTGTGCGTCAGGTGTCTGTCCAGATTGCACTGCTTTAGCCACGGTATGCTTGGGGTCTCGCACTGGTACTGCCGGCTTGCGAGGCTGTACCGCTGGTTTTGGTCCTGTGAATATCGAAGAATAACATTTATATGAATAATTTAACTCATTAATGTCTGATTATGAAAATCCACAATATTTGTTCATACAAAAGTAGTCTCTAAACTTCGGAAGTAAGGTTTATAATGGTGTAAGCGGAGAGCGGTTACCGGTGACCGCTTGGATTGAAATTGATTTTCGCATAGAACGAGCGGGACATCTTTCTCTGCACTTCCCAAGGTACCTACTGTTTTATTACGCTCAATATTATTGGCTGTATGTTGTATATCAGCAGCAGCAGATAATCTACTGCTGGACTATGAGTCTCCTCTATGCTATGCAGGCTTGAGTCTTAACAATGAAGACTATTGTCAGTCACTCACTCAGTCACTGCTTAATATCATACTTTTGCAAATTCATTTGTATGATTCTTAAATGACTCATGCTGTAACTCACCACGGGTAGCATCTCCTGGGTGTTTGTCATCAGGACTGACAATGTGGAGTAGCTTACTAGAAGCATCCGCCAGCCTTGCGGTAGCTTCGTTTAGTTTCTGAAAAGTACACTTCTCAATTAACATATAAAACATTCGTATGCAATTTTTACTTATGTATAGAGTGATTCTTAACGAAGGTCTAAATGTATAATTGTGTAGACTTATATCTAAGGCAAGTAATATATATAATAAGGAACTTACAATAGGATGTCCAGCACTATCACAAATAATGCGACTGGTTTCACACAGTTCTCTAAGCTCCTGCATCATGGCTGCTTGTTCAGCTGGCTCCTTCGTAGAACATATCTTGTGGGAGTCTGTAAGTAATAGGTAATTAAAAGACAGGTTCCAAATGTATCTGCACTGGTCGTTTATACACGGTTAAAAACTCGTTACACAGAATACATACCTTGGACGATTTCTGGCATTAACTCGATTACTGTGGTGACTGCCCGCTCTGCTGCCGGGTAGTCTGGGTTCTTGCCATCTGAATTAAAAGCAAGTAGAAATAAATAATTATAAATAAGTGCTCGAAGACGAAGCTAATACAAAGTCCAAGTCAAAAGTCGTATATCAAAAATGAAAAATCAAACGCAGTCTAATCTACAGTCTACAATCCACAGTTCATAGTTCACAGTCCACAGTCTACAGTAGACTTTTATGGTTTACTTTTCTCCGAAACTTGAGTTGGTTAGCAAGAAAGTGATATGGTATTTTTTTAAGGGGAGTAAATCATCGAATGGTTGCTCCCGCCTGGGTGAGGCGGGAGGGAGTGTCAGACTCTTACTGACTAAAAACCACCCCGTTCCTTCTCCTACACGTCGAGCCGGAGCCCCGGTTACCCGTTAGGTTCTCCGCAACTCCGAATCGGCATCGGATCGTTGGGCCCCATCTGTGGTGGTCTGATGGCTCTTTGAGGCGCGCGCGGAACGCTCGGCGCCGTACGCTCGGGTCTGTTTCTGGTCGGACGGGGAGCCACCCATGCTCGCCGTCCGCAGGCCCGCGCTTACGGTGGCCGGAGATCGTCCCGCGATCCCCAACACCTGGTGTGTCGCGATGGCTGGGGGCAACCCAGCAGCGCTTCGCTGCCTCAAGCGTCCCGCCTCCTCCTTAGCTAGCATAATTGCTTCGCAAAAGGAGGAGACGGCATAAATGATATGGTATACAGACCTGTGGTAGCGGCAGCTAGTGCTGCAATGGCCGCGTTGAGCTGCGCCAGGCGACGGGACAGTTGCTGCTGTAAGGCTGCACCGTCTGCTTGTTGCAGCTGCTGGACTACAACCGGCTAACAGACAGAATTATAAAAAGGTATAAGAAATGGGTTAATTAAATATGTATGTCAAATATGCATCACTGAATTATTCTAAGCATTAAAAGTGCTTACCTTCTTCATCTGTTGCTCGGCTGTGTCCAGCTTGCTCTGGGCTCCAGATATGGAGCTCACGAACTTCAGGCGTTGCTGCTCTTGTTGAGGAGATAGTACCACACCTAGTCAATGTATTTATTTAGTAAGACAAGTGAGAACTTATGTACCTATTCCTGATAATAAAAAGTTAACATGTCTTACCAGAAGCTGAATGGCAAACTTGCACCAATTTATCTAGACTTTCATCAAGCTGGCGATGTGAAGTGCCAAGCTGTCGGCGTACATCCGGCAACTGAGCTGTGTGAGGCTCGCATGTGGCTATCAGTCCGTCGGCACAGCGCCGCAGTTTCTGAGCGGATGAGATCACTTGCTTCTGACACTGAGGGTCGCTGATAGTTGGAGCTGTCGTCTGATGGAAAGTACAGTGTTTAGCTTGAGAATGGCGTTCCACTAAATATTCAAAAAAAGGTTTTCTTCGTAGGACGGTCTTACCTGTGCGACAGTGAGCAGTGCCTGTGCGGCATCTGCAGCGCTGGCCCCGCAGCGGTCCAGCTCCGCGGCTGCACCTGCATCTGTCACGCGCTCCGTCAACTGCTGCACCTGGCTCAACAGCTCCGATGCCTTGCCACACGATGTGGCGGCCAAGGTCAACACCTGTAACAGAGACACCCACATTGTTCCAGGATCCCAATGCTGCAGCACTAAACCCTTACCAAAACGAGCTCCTCACCTGTTTCTCGTGAGCATCCTGTGTCTTGGGGCTGACGACATACACCAACTTGCCTGACGCTGCGGAGAACTTGGCGGCAGCGTCGCTGACTCCCTGCAGCAAGGAGAATACATTCATCACACTCGTTCTGACACTTGCGCAATAGAAGTATCCCCCCAGAGCTCCACCAACCTGTGCCTGTCCCGCGTGCTCACACAGCTCCTGCGTGGCCTCGCACAGCGCGCGCAGCTCCTGCAACATGGCCGCCTGCTCCGCGTCTGACTTCGTGCCGCATAGCGTGCGGGACTCTGCGGACAATGCGATACTTGATGGACCTGACAGAAGTGGACTGGCCGAGTGACCAGTGGCAGAACAATATGGAGTGGAATGAATCGGTTAGACAACTGACCTTGTACCACTTGCGGCATGAGTTGAGCGATGTGCTGGATGGCCTGGTCTGCCGCCGCGTAGTCGGGGTGCTCGCGGTCTGCGGACGGGAACGCGTGAGTTACAGTTTGTACTACCTGCGAGTTACGGAGCATTAGTATACATGCGGCAGTATCCACAGACCTGCGGTGGCAGCAGTGAGCGCGGCCACGGCGGCGTTGAGCTGCGCCACGCGCGCCCCGAGCCTGCGCTGTAGCGCCGCGCCGTCTTCTTCCTTCAGCAGCTGACACACCAACGGCTGGCGACACACAACGTTACATTGTACCACCACGTCACGCCTGAGTGTGGCTTTCAGGAACATAATGCCTGAGATATGAACTGACCTCTTTCAGCAGTTGTTCGGTGGCATTCAGACGACTCTTGGCACCAGACGCGCTGTTGATGAACTTGAGACGTTGTTGTTCTTGTTGCTCTGAGCTCACGCCGCCTATGGTACATGAGGTATATGATATTTTTTTAGGTAACACCAAAAGCAACGTAACTGGTGAGGTACTTTTGGAGTCCACAATAATTGACTATAATGAGAATATTCTTAAAGACACCTTCTCAATTCTAGCCCGCGGGGATTGGGATGCAACCAAAAGAGAATCAGACCAAATAATGTACGTCCCAGAGAGGTAACCAAATTGTTATAAATATCACAGTAACATCAATTTAAAATGTATTTGGAAGAGCAGAATTTTTTTTTATCATTATTCCTCATTTTTCAATAGGAAAGTAAATTACTAAGATCAGTAGATCGATGATCTTACAGAAAAGAGATTATACATATATATATAGGAATTATACGAATTAAAAGAAAGTAGTAAACTATTCGATTATTGATTATTGATGAACTATATTTAAGTGTGGGAGAGCCATGCTTCGGCGCGAATAGGCTGGCTCGACGGGAGTGATACCACGGCCTCACAGAAAACCGACGTGAAACAACGCTTGCGTTGTGTTTCGTCGTGTGGGTGAGGTTACTGGAGACCCAATTAGCCTTCCCTTCCCCAATCTCCCCAATCCCTGAATCCCCAACCATGCTCAAACTCCAAATCCCCAAAAGGCCGGTAACGCACTTGTAACGCCTCTGGTGTTGGTGTCCTATTACATGGCACTCATATCATAATTAGTGAAAAGTAGGTGTTACTTCTGTGTGCACCTCTGCCTACCCCTTCGGGGATAAAAGGCGTGTTGTTATGTTATGTATCCATGGGCGACGCCGATTGCTTATCATCAGGTGATCCGTCTGCTCGTTTACCGGCTTATGCCATAAAAAAAGTATAGGAAGAAACTATAAACTATTTGTTATATAAGAAGAAGTAGCCGACTAACTCCAACTCTCCAAGTAAGTTGTTATAATTGCAAGAATATGAAAGGTATATACTATCGGATATTACTTACCATGTGGTACAGATCTACAAGCCTGCACCAGTTTGTCGAGACTGTCAGCAAGCTGTCGGTGCGCGGTGCCGAGCTGGCGGCGTGCGTCCGGGAGCTGAGCTGTGTGAGGCTCGCACGACGACGTCAGCTCGTCCGCGCAGCGACGGAGCTTCTGCGCGGATGAGATCAGCTGCTTCTGACACTGAGGGTCGCTGATAGTCGGAGTTGTCGTCTGATGGAAAGTACAGTGTTTAGTTTCAGAATAGCGTTTCACTAAATCATTTAAAAAGATCTTCTGCGCAGGATAGTCTTACCTGTGCGACAGTGAGCAGTGCCTGTGCGGCATCTGCAGCGCTGGCCCCGCAGCGGTCCAGCTCCGCGGCTGCACCTGCATCTGTCACGCGCTCCGTCAGCTGCTGCACCTGGCTCAGCAACTCCGATGCCTTGCCACAAGAGGTGGCGGCCAGGGCCAACACCTGCAACGTAACCAACCATTTTATTACAGAATCCCAACGCTACAGCACTAAACCTTCACCATAACGAACTACTCACCTGTTTCTCGTGAGCATCCTGTGTCTTGGGGCTGACGACATACACCAACTTGCCTGACGCTGCGGAGAACTTGGCGGCAGCGTCGCTGACTCCCTGCAGCAAGGATAATACATTCATCACACTCGTTCTGACACTTGCCCAATAGAAGTATCCCCCCAGAGCTCCACCAACCTGTGCCTGTCCCGCGTGCTCACACAGCTCCTGCGTGGCCTCGCACAGCGCGCGCAGCTCCTGCAACATGGCCGCCTGCTCCGCGTCTGACTTCGTGCCGCATAGCGTGCGGGACTCTGCGGACAATGCGATACTTGATGGACCTGACAGAAGTGGACTGGCCGAGTGACCAGTGGCAGAACAATATGGAGTGGAATGAATCGGTTAGACAACTGACCTTGTACCACTTGCGGCATGAGTTGAGCGATGTGCTGGATGGCCTGGTCTGCCGCCGCGTAGTCGGGGTGCTCGCGGTCTGCGGACGGGAACGCGTGAGTTACAGTTTGTACTACCTGCGAGTTACGGAGCATCAGTATACATGCGGCAGTATCCACAGACCTGCGGTGGCAGCAGTGAGCGCGGCCACGGCGGCGTTGAGCTGCGCCACGCGCGCCCCGAGCCTGCGCTGTAGCGCCGCGCCGTCTTCTTCCTTCAGCAGCTGACACACCAACGGCTGGCGACACACAACGTTACATTGTACCACCACGTCACACCTGAGTGTGGCTTTCAGTAATATACGTAGTGCTTGTGATATGAACTGACCTCTTTCAGCAGTTGTTCAGTTGCATTCAGACGACCCTTGGCACCAGACGCGCTGTTGATGAACTTGAGCCGTTGCTGTTCTTGTTGCCCTGAGCTGACACCGCCTAGGGTACATGAAGTATATGATATGTTTTTAGGTAACACCAAAAGCAACGTAACTGGTGAAGTACTTTTCGAGTCCACAATAATTGACTATAATGAGAATATTCTTAAAGACACCTTCTCAATTCCAGCCCGCGGGGATTGGGATGCAACCAAAAGAGGTATGTATAGTGGTAAAGAAATTGTTATGAATATCACAATAATATCAATCTAAAATGGCTTTGGAGGGGCAGAATAAAATAATATCAACATCCCTCATAGACCAGGGTCGATAATTTTTAAAACCAAATAAAATAAATAATAGTAGATAGTATGAAACCCATTGGAAAAGGAGGGGAATATTATAAAATGAAAAGAAAAATAATTTACGGGCGATCTAAGGTCGGGATCGACCGGACTGAATCGAATTGAATTTTTCACATAAATTTTGAGGTAATGTGAAAAGACTGTCAGTATAAAAGTTTCAAATGTTTTTATCATCTCAACTTTGCCGTTTGAATTTTTTATAGTTTCCGGAAATCGAGAATAACTGTTTTTACCCTTAAAAACTCACCCTTTTCCCCTTCCCGACCTCAGATCGCCCATAAATTATTCTTCCTTTGATTTTTATAATTTTCCCTCCTTTTCTGATGGGTTTCATCATACAAATTTTTTCCCCCTTTTTATAATTTTTAAAGGCCTACCCTGGTCTATCATTTCTCAGTACGAAAGAAAAATTGATCGAGTTTTGAACGACACAAAAACTTATAGTTACATACAGGGTGTCTCACGGCAGAGTTAGGATTTTGAAATGAAATAAAAGTCAATTTGCATATTTTTGTGAAAAGATTTTTATTGAAAACTATTGAACTATAATGCGCATTTTAGTTTTTAAAGATTACATCTTTCAGATGTCTTCCATTTCGTAGCACGCACTCACGGAATCGATTCATCGCATTTTGCATAACGCACCTAAGCATAGCCGGCTCGATGTCGCGTATTTCTTGTTGGATATTTTGTTTTAGCTCAGCGATATTCCTCGGAGTATTGACGTAAACTTTACTCTTAAGGTACCCCCATAGGAAAAAGTCCATGAGGGTCAAATCTGGTGATCGCGGAGGCCACGCAATATCACCAAAGCGGGATATCAATTTTTGAGGAAACAATTCACGAAGTTGGTCCATAGTGGCTCTTGCAGTGTGGCAAGTGGCTCCATCCTGCTGAAACCACGTTCTTGAGCTGTAGGCTGGATGCTCTCGAAGTTGGGGTATAAAATAATTGGATATCATTTGCCGATAAGCCTCACCAGAAACAGTTATCGCAGCACCTGTCGCATTTTCAAAAAAATACGGCCCGATTATTCCATTGACCGAAAGAGCACACCACACTGTCACTTTTGGGCTGTGCAGCGGTCTTTGATGTTTTTGTCTGGGATTGACTTCTGACCAAAAGCGACAATTTTGTTTGTTAACATATCCATTGAAATGTGCTTCATCACTCCAAAACACAGTATTCAAAGTGCGAAATCTCTCAATGATTGTCTGGCAAAAACTTTTACGTAAATTGTAGTCATTTTCATTTATTTCCTGCACTATCTGTATTTTATAGGGATGGAATTTCAAATCACGTTTTAAAATCCGCTCTACGGTTGATTTGGTGACGTTTAAAGCCGCCGCTCTTTTGCGTATTTACAAGCGTGGATTACGTCGAACGCTAGCTGCAACTTCGTTTATTGTTTCTTCCGTTCTTGAAGTTCTGCTTGGGCCCGGACGCGGTTGATTTTTAGCGGAACCGGTAGCTCGAAACTTGATAACCCATTTACGAATCAAATTTTCGCTTGGTCCATCGCGTAAACGTCTGATATTGTAGTGAGAACAAAACTGTCTTCGAGCCCCGACGTACGATTCTCCACCTTTCAAAAACGCTTCGATAGCGAACGCGCGGTGCTCACCCGACCACTACGACATCGTGACTAACGAATCCGCACGAATGACGAAGCAACTGCGTTCCTCCCCGCCCTTACTTGCAACGGTTTTTAAAATATTCAAATTTAAAATTCTAATTATGCCGTGAGACACCCTGTATAAATGAGGCCGGTGCCTCGAATTTCGTGGACAGCAGGGCGGCAAAATGAAATAAATATTAAATAAAAAGCCAAAATGAAATAAAAGGAAGCAGCTATTTGGCATTGGTAACGTTGTCAGATTTTCATAGAAAACACATCATGCCGACCCCAAGTAACTTGTAATAATAATATGAAGGAGAAAAATAAATACTATCGAATATTATGTAGTGTGTGTGACACCTCGCCCTATAAGTAAGTAGTGTAAGTTAGATATTAAGACACTTAATTAAAGATATTCGTAACACCAACACGTCTCCCTCATTGCTCCACATTACATGGCGACCCTGCCAGTGCTGCCACGCGGGCAGCGCTGCGCACGAGTACAATGTTGGATATTTGTATTTGTTAAAAATAATTAAATAATTCAACTGTGGACTAAAAAAAGTGCATTGTGCTCTGAAAAAAAAAAACAAAATGTAAAAGTGGAGATATTGCTGGCTGCCGGGTGTCGATGCAGCCAGATGTGGACCTGCCGGGAGCAGTTGGTGTCCTGGAGGATGGAGCCGGGAGATGTTGGCGACCAGGTAGCGTTTGAGAGAATCTCCGCTACCCTGGGTACGTGATGTAACCGGACTCGAAAGTACTTTGTGTTTAAATGTTAAGTGTATTAGTGTAGTTAAAAAGTGAAAATGGACACCAATATATGGAACTGTAGTAGTAAGATAAACATAATTGTAATAGGCCCACGTTTGTTATATAATATTAATTTTAGTTATTTCACATAATTTTACTTGATATAATTCACGCCTGTTGACAATCATAATCGTAAGTATTACTTTTTTATGTTGAATCATTTTATACTTAATATTATTTTGAACGAAACCTTGCAATTTTTGTTGTAATTTAGAGATTTTTTTTTTAAAATGTCGTAGTTCGCTAACATTAATCAGATTAAAGGAATGTTCCCATGCCCATATAGGTAAATGATGTCATACCGAGTGTCAGATTGTATTGAAAGAATCGTGTTACTCGACACCGATTAACAATAACAACTACACTTTGGTTTGTCTTGTGAAATAAATAAATTAGCTGAATGAAATTTGATACTAGTTAGGTTTTGGAATGTGTTTATTGTTCGTATAAGTATGTAAGTTTGGATTTTAGGTAGTTCGGAATGACTTGGTACACAAGTTTTGGCGTATGACTGAAGGCTGATCACCTAAGGACAACGTAAAATTTTGTCGATCAAGCTATTTAATTGGATTGTGTTTATGTTAGGTTTGACAGTTAAGAATAAGTAAATAATAAATATAATAGGTACACATGGTAAGGTACAGTTTAGTGTTCATGTCCTTGGTTTGATCATGGTGTAGACGAGCTCTCTCTGTGAAAATTATTGGAGATCATAAGAATCTTAAATATTGACACTAAATTTTAAAATGAATATAAATATGAATAAAAGTAAGCACAAGTATAATAATGAAATGAAGAATGGTGGATAAATATAATGAAATAAATAATTAATGAACAGGTACCGGAGAGTCCTGTATAAATAATTATAATGTGCTTACATGTGTATAATGTTATTGTATATGTACCTTACGATGATAGTGCAAAGTTTTGAATAAAATATATTATGTGTACCTAGTTATAAAAGGTATAGAAGTTTAGGGTAAAAGATAATGATAAATATGAAAAATAAATATGTACGAAGGATAAACTAATAATAGAATTTTAACAAATATTCTGTAACAATTGTCAACAGTGCGAATAATATTATTTAAAAATATTTAACAGTTTAAAAAAAATCTATTAGCATATTTTTTTTTCAAAAAAACGGGGGAGGTGTAGTGTGTGTGACACCTCGCCCTATAAGTAAGTAGTGTAAGTTAGATATTAAGACACTTAATTAAAGATATTCGTAACACCAACACGTCTCCCTCATTGCTCCACATTGCAATTACTTACCATGTGGCACCGATCGACAAGTTTGCATCAGTTTGTCGAGACTGTCAGCAAGCTGTCGGTGCGCGGTGCCGAGCTGGCGGCGTGCGTCCGGGAGCTGAGCTGTGTGAGGCTCGCACGACGACGTCAGCTCGTCCGCGCAGCGACGGAGCTTCTGCGCGGATGAGATCAGCTGCTTCTGACACTGAGGGTCGCTGATAGTCGGAGCTGTCGTCTGATGGAAAGTACATATGTACATTGTTTAGTTCCAGAATGGGGACTTCACAAAATTTTCAAAAAAGGCCTTCTTCGTAGTATGGTCTTACTTGTGCCACAGTGAGCAGTGCCTGTGCGGCATCTGCAGCGCTGGCCCCGCAGCGGTCCAGCTCCGCAGCTGCGTCTGCGTCTGCCACGCGCTCCGTTAGCTGCTGCACTTGGCTTAGCAGCTCCGATGCCTTGCCACAAGAGGTGGCAGCCAGGGCCAACACCTGCAACGTAGCCAACCATTTTATTCCGGAATTCCAATGCTACAGCACTAGACCCTTACCAGAACTAGCTACTCACCTGTTTTTCGTGAGCATCTTGCGTCTTGGGGCTGACGACGTACACCAACTTGCCTGACGCTGCGGAGAACTTGGCGGCAGCGTCGCTGACTCCCTGCAGCAAGGAGAATACATTCATCACACTCGTTCTGACATTCCACAATAGAAGTATCCCCCCAGAGCTCCACCAACCTGTGCCTGTCCCGCGTGCTCACACAGCTCCTGCGTGGCCTCGCACAGCGCGCGCAGCTCCTGCAACATGGCCGCCTGCTCCGCGTCTGACTTCGTGCCGCATAGCGTGCGGGACTCTGCGGACAATGCGATACTTGATGGACCTGACAGAAGTGGACTGGCCGAGTGACCAGTGGCAGAACAATATGGAGTGGAATGAATCGGTTAGACAACTGACCTTGTACCACTTGCGGCATGAGTTGAGCGATGTGCTGGATGGCCTGGTCTGCCGCCGCGTAGTCAGGGTGCTCGCGGTCTGCGGACGGGAACGCGTGAGTTACAGTTTGTACTACCTGCGAGTTACGGAGCATCAGTATACATGCGGCAGTATCCACAGACCTGCGGTGGCAGCAGTGAGCGCGGCCACGGCGGCGTTGAGCTGCGCCACGCGCGCCCCGAGCCTGCGCTGTAGCGCCGCGCCGTCTTCTTCCTTCAGCAGCTGACACACCAACGGCTGGCGACACACAACGTTACATTGTACCACCACGTCACGCCTGAGTGTGGCTTTCAGGAACATAATGCCTGAGATATGAACTGACCTCTTTCAGCAGTTGTTCAGTGGCATTCAAACGACCCTTGGCACCAGACGCGGTGTTGATGAACTTGAGTCGTTGCTGTTCTTGTTGCCCTGAGCTGGCGGCACCTAGATTATATCATACAATTTATTTTGTAGCTCAACATCAGGTCAAGCTAGATAATATGTAAGTGATTCTACTCGTGCTAAGAATAAAAACTGGGGTCTATACCAAATACCGTACCTCTATATTAATAATTGTCTGTACTATAAAACAATCAAAAAGTATCAAAATTATATAATTCAATGCACTCTCGAAGTATGGTTAAACTAAGAATGTTGGTATCCGCAATATTCATGAGATGCCGTTGGAGACGTAGAAAAGAAATACTTTTCTCTATTTTTAGCAGACGACAGAAATTAAAGTGTTAATTTCCGTAAGTGTCAAATATACAAATATCATTCGTGTAATATTTTTTCTGCTATAAACTATTACAAGAATAATTACCACAAGAGATATAAAAAAAAAATGGATTTGAGGAACGATAATGAAGAACATCGATATAAATTGAATCAACGTCTGAAAGTAATACTAGTGACAAAGAAGTTGAAATGTTATTATTGTATTTTTTCATATTATGGACATTAGGCGTGTAACGACGAGAGATGAAGATCATAATAAATATAAGTGAAAGATATATGTAAAAGTAAATAAATAGAATGGAAAATCCAGGACCAGAGAAAAGATGAAAAGCTTATATAAGGCATGATATGAAAGAAACGTGCAATATGGTGACATCTGTAGAGAAGAATGTACAAAAGTGTATTGAACTAACTCATGTTAGTTTGGATAACAACAGGAATAAAGAAGAAAAGATAGTAAATTAACATCAACGCCGCCGGACCGTGACTGCAGGACTATGGGCTTCGTTTACATTCCTGGGCTTATCATACCCTCCACACTTCATAGAACGGTTGGAGATGGCAGTCTAAAAGATTTAAAAAATCTTATCAGAGGGCGCTGCTACCTGGACCTTATCAAATGCGTAGTTTCTTAGTTGACTAGAGTAGTAGGAGGGGGACAAATCAATCTATGTACTATGTCATTACGAGCCAACAAAAAAAGAATTATTGTACAATGTTCCTTACCGTGTGGTACCGATCCACAAGCCTGCACCAATTGATCAAGACTGTCATCAAGCTGGCGATGTGAGGCGCCGATTTGCTGGCGTGCCTTAGGATCCTGAGCTGTGTGAGGCTCGCATGTGGCTATCAGTCCGTCGGCACAGCGACGCAGCTTTTGAGCGGATGAGATCACCTGCTTCTGACACTGAGGGTCGCTGATAGTTGGAGCTGTCGTCTGATAGAAGATACAATGCTTAGTTTCAGAATGGAAGTTTCACTAAATCTTCAAATAGGCCTTCTTGGCACAATGATCTTACTTGTGCGACAGTGAGCAGTGCCTGTGCGGCATCTGCAGCGCTGGCCCCGCAGCGGTCCAGCTCCGCGGCTGCGCCTGCATCTGTCACGCGCTCCGTCAACTGCTGCACCTGGCTCAGCAGCTCCGATGCCTTACCACAAGAGGTGGCGGCCAGGGCCAACACCTGCAACGTAACCAACCATTTTATTCCGGAATCCCAATGCTACAGCACTAAACCCTTACCAGAACTAGCTACTCACCTGTTTCTCGTGAGCATCTTGCGTCTTGGGGCTGACGACATACACCAACTTGCCTGACGCTGCGGAGAACTTGGCGGCAGCGTCGCTGACTCCCTGCAGCAAGGAGAATACATTCGTCACACTCGTTCTGACACTTGCCCAATAGAAGTATCCCCCCAGAGCTCCACCAACCTGTGCCTGTCCCGCGTGCTCACACAGCTCCTGCGTGGCCTCGCACAGCGCGCGCAGCTCCTGCAACATGGCCGCCTGCTCCGCGTCTGACTTCGTGCCGCATAGCGTGCGGGACTCTGCGGACAATGCGATACTTGATGGACCTGACAGAAGTGGACTGGCCGAGTGACCAGTGGCAAAACAATATCGAGTGGAATGAATCGTTAGACAACTGACCTTGTACCACTTGCGGCATGAGTTGAGCGATGTGCTGGATGGCCTGGTCTGCCGCCGCGTAGTCGGGGTGCTCGCGGTCTGCGGACGGGAACGCGTGAGTTACAGTTTGTACTACCTGCGAGTTACGGAGCATCAGTATACATTCGGCAGTATCCACAGACCTGCGGTGGCAGCAGTGAGCGCGGCCACGGCGGCGTTGAGCTGCGCCACGCGCGCCCCGAGCCTGCGCTGTAGCGCCGCGCCGTCTTCTTCCTTCAGCAGCTGACACACCAACGGCTGGCGACACACAACGTTACATTGTACCACCACGTCACGCCTGAGTGTGGCTTTCAGGAACATAATGCCTGTGGTATAAACTGACCTCTTTCAGCAGTTGTTCAGTTGCGTTCAGACGACCCTTGGCACCAGACGCGCTGTTGATGAACTTGAGACGTTGCTGTTCTTGTTGCCCTGAACCAGTGCCAATGGTACCTGCATGTTACATTTTTTCTGGTTTATCATTTCTTCAGACCTTTATCCCGTCATAATATTGTCAAATGACGTACGCTGAAATACTCAAACATCACTCAATTTTATGTCGCGCTTAAGTATAGTTCTGTCTCTAAAATGACAGAGATGGCACGATATTTTAGTACTAAGTACAACTTAAAATTTAGTAGATTTACAATATTCGAGCGTTATCGAGTTTAAGAATCACAGGTATCTTCAAACTTACCGCCATGTTCGGGCTGATAAGCCTGAACGAGTTTGTCAAGGTCATTCGTCAGTTGTCTCTGACAGGACAGTAGTTGTTGCCAAGCTTCTGGTCGAGTCATCAGAGGTGGCTCACAGGAAGACGTCAGTTGTTGTGCACAGTGGCGCACGTTGTTTACTGACGAGTTGACTGCTGCACAGCATCTTGGGTCTGATGGACTGGCGCTTGTAGCCTGTGGGTAAATGACAAAGAAGAGTCTCCTAGTTAAGCAGTGATATTTTTTAATAGAATCGTCCGTGAGAATTTGCGTTGGAACCGAAAAGCCGAATGTGAAAATACTACATCTGTTTGACAATGTAAAAACTATGCATATATATCCTACCTGCACCACTGAATCCAAGGTGCCAGCGGCCTCATGTAGGCGCGAGGCTAGCGGCGCCTGCGCAGGGCAAGCAGTCTGTGCATTAACTGCTAAACGTTCCGCCTGCTTGCATGCTGCCTTTGCTAGCTCCACTACCTACACACAATACAAAATCAGAAAAATCGTATGTTCTGTTTTTCTACTGACTTCAAAACCAAAAAAGAGGTGCTCAGTTTAACCTGTATGTATGTATGTATGTAAGTGTGTGTGTATGTATGCTTAAGCGCGATTATCTTGCGATTGGCATAACCAATTTGGATGCGGTTTTCCTAAAAAAGTGTTTGTTACCAGAGAAAGTTTTTTGTATACATTAATTAAGCGACTTCAAAAAAAGAGGGGGTTGAATTCGGTGTTTTTTTAAACGTAGGTAGTTTATAAAAGAATTATTTTAATCGTTGTTTATAAAATTATATTATTTGACCGTATAGGTCACCAATTAACCATGGCATAGATTATTTAAAGTGAGCTCAAAAAATGCTTTACGAAATAAAGTCAGATGAAAAGGCCTACCGAAATGCAGGACGGGTTATAATTATTGTAATATAATAAATGACGCTTAAGAAGCACTTTAACAGATTTACACTTTACCTGATAAAGTTATTTAAGGATTTTGACTAAAATTCTTACCTGTTTTTCCTTGATCTTGTCGGCAGTAGGGCTCACAATGAACTTCAGTTTGCTGGCCGCCTTATGGAATTCCTTTGTACTAATTTTAGGATCCTGTATTGAGCAATGGGTTACAAGTTACAATAAAAACTGAAGTTTAAGTAAAATTAATTTTAAGTGCAAATCATGCTACCCCAAACTGTCCAAGAAAGGCGATAAGGTCGCATGAACATATTTTGGGAGCCATTTTTTCTTTTTTTATGGCATGTAAACGAGCAGACGAATCACCTGATGGTAAGCAATCGGTGTCGCCCATGGACACCTGGAACATCAGAGGCGTTACAAGTGCGTTGTCTGTCTTTTGGGGATTAGGAGTTTGAGAATCGTTGTGGGGAGATTGGGGAAGGGGAGAATATTTGGGTCTCCAGTAACCTCACTCACACGACGAAACACAACACAAGCGTTGCTTCACGTCAGTTTTCTGTGAGGCCGTGGTATCATTCCGGTCGAGCCGGCCCATTCGTGCCGAAGCATGGCTCTACCACACTTTACGTGTCGGTTTTTATTTTGTGGAGGGTCGATCAGGACTATAAAGAACAGCCGATCTACCTATCAATCTATAAATCAATAGGTACATTAACCAAGAAATCAATCCTCCTATCCTGATGGATTTAAATTGATGGTTTGATTGACGTCAATCAATCAATCAGTCATAATTCAATAAATCAGTAAATATCACCAGTTCGTAGTTCTGAAGAAACCTAATCAACTTACAGTTTCAGAATTTTCACAAAGACTGCGGCTGGCGTGGCATAGAGCTTTCAGATCGTCCAACATGGCTGCCTGCCCAGCTCCGTCCTTCGTGCTCGATAATTGGCGGGAGTCTGGAAGTAATCCAATAGTTTACTATAAATCAAATTAAGGATATTTATTTAGGATATACTATTACTAAGAATACATCTAGTTATGTTACAGTTATGATAACAGTTAAAAAAAAACAAGTGAATTTATACCTTGTACAATCAGCGCCATCAGTTCAGATATCTCCTTCACAGACTGTTCCGCAGTTTTCCAGTCAGGGTTTTCGGGATCTAAAACCATTACATCAAACTTAGTATTTTTTCTGAATCAAAACAGAGCAACTCTGTTCTTTGTTTGTCCAATCCAAATAATTATTTGTTTCGCTGATCACAAACACCCATTTGTCTCCACCGAGAACAATTTTTCCTTGATTGATAAAAAAATATATTATAGAGCAAGAAAAAACCTCATACGTATACGTTTTCCGAAGACCATAACCAAAATCAAGTATATCATACATAGCATACAAGCATATATCATGTATGTAGTGGGATGTCTGTAAACCTTGATACTGACCAGCTTTAGCAGCGGCAAGTGCAGCCACTGCAGCGTTGAGCTGCGCCAGGCGCTGCGACAACCTCTGTTCCAGAGCTGCTGCCTGTTCAGGACTCAGCTGATGCTTTGGCAATGGCTGCAGGAAGAATATAAAAATACTAGAATAAGAACTATCAAACATTCCTATCTTTCCGGCAATCCAACATAGCCAAGTTAAACATTGAAGATACTACATGTGTCTGTGTGTACGTGTGTACACACACAGCTCACCACGTATCACCACACGGTGATAATGATAACTGACCTGTTTGAGCTGTTGCTCGGCGTCGTAGAGTCGGTTTCTAGCTCCTGTCAAGCTGTTCATAAACTTGAGTCGTTGCTTCTCCTTTGGAGGTTGTGACACGCCACTCTGGGAACCTGGACCAACCGAACAAACCGTTTAAGGATATGAATTCAATAATTTTATGTCCATTTTTGTAGTATTGATCTCACCTTCTGGTATTTTCTGACAAGCCTGCATCAGTTTGTCGAGACTGTCAGCAAGCTGTCGGTGCGCGGTGCCGAGCTGGCGGCGTGCGTCCGGGAGCTGAGCTGTGTGAGGCTCGCACGACGACGTCAGCTCGTCCGCGCAGCGACGGAGCTTCTGCGCGGATGAGATCAGCTGATCCTTGCAGCAAGGACTATCCATGGTAGATGCAGTAGCCTATGAGGTAAACAAACATTATAAGAAAAGTTGAAAGCAGTTTTTATAAACCTGGTGATCTTCAATGGACATTATCACATTACAGTCTTACCTGTGCGACAGTGAGCAGTGCCTGTGCGGCATCTGCAGCGCTGGCCCCGCAGCGGTCCAGCTCCGCGGCTGCACCTGCATCTGTCACGCGCTCCGTCAAATGCTGCACCTGGCTCAGCAGCTCCGATGCCTTGCCACAAGCATCGGTTGTCAAACCAAGAATCTGGAGAAAAAACAATGTGTTATTGCTGTTCTCGTGCGAAAAGTCAAAACTCTAATGTTAAGACAAATTGAAGAGTTCTCACGCTCACCTCATTCTCCATCTCATTATCAGCTCGAGGTGTGGCGCAGTACACCAACTTTGTCGAAGCGTCTGTGTACTTGGCAATAGCATCTCCCACACCCTGGAACAAAATCTTAGTTCAATACAAATACTTGACTTATCCCTTCTAACCGCAGCGATGGCGACCTCTCGCGTCCAGGCCTAGTACAGGTCATGATGCAGAGCGAGGGGGATTGAGATGCCGTCTGCTCTTTTTGCGAAGCAGTTATGCTAACTAAGGAGGAGGCGGGACGCGTGAGGCCTCCTCGCAACCAAGCCAATGTGAAGGACATACCGGGCGTTGGGGATCGCGGGACGATCTCCGGCCACCGTAAGCGCGGGCCGGAGGACGGCGAGCATGGGTGGCTCGTCGTCCGACCAGAAACAGACGGCCAGCGGATAGCGCGCGCCTCAAGGAGCCATCAGACCACCACAGATGAGGCCCAATAGGGCTGATGGCGATACGGAGCCGCGGAGGACTTAACGGGTTGCCGGGGCTCCGGCTCGAAGAGCAGAAGTAGAAACGGGGTGGTTTTTAGTCAGCAAGAGCCTGACACTCCCTCCCGCTGCACCCAGGCGGGAGAAGTAATTCGACAATTTTCCCCCGTAAAAAAAATCCCTTCTAACCGGCCGATCAAGATCTCATTGGAGGAGACTTACTTTTAGCAGTCAACGTCTTAGACATGATGGATGTCCTTGAAACAAATGTTGGTGTATTTATTTCACCTGTGGTTGTCCAGCATTGTCACACAGCTCCTGCGTGGCCTCGCACAGCGCGCGCAGCTCCTGCAACATGGCCGCCTGCTCCGCGTCTGACTTCGTGCCGCATAGCATTTGTGAATCTGATCCATAACAATTCAAATTGAGAGAAATTTTATTTTTTAAGCGCATCAATTCATTATCATCTTCTTTAACAAACCTTGTATTAGATGTGGCATTATTTGGGAGATGGTGTTCACTGCGCGTTCGGCCGCCTCATAGTCTGGGTTCTCGCGATCTACGGAAAGTTGACAACCTTAATAAACAGATGCCTAGAACTAGCAGCTTATATTACAAGAAGGGACAAGACGGAGATAAAGCCACGATCAAGAACTAGTAAATTTAGAAGCAACTTAGTAAGTCGAAAGGAAAAGAAAACAGTTATCGCAATGAGAACAAAAAAATCGTTAAAGACAAAGAGAAACCGAAATTTAACCGTAAAACTTTACCGTGACAACACTGAATCAGAACAGAATATTATGCACATTTGTTGGCTCCTTAACCTGTACAAACCTCTAACAGCTTCAGAATTTCTATTTCCTTACACCTAGTACATTACCTGAGGTGGCGGCGGCAAGAGCTGCAACGGCTGCATTAAGCTGAGCTATACGGTCGTTGAGCTTCTGACCTAGAGCTGCAGCATGGCCTTCCTCCATCATGTGACACCTCAAGGGCTGAAGGACATATTTTACATTCATAAACTAAACAGAAAATTTTTGTTTGACTGTCTGTCTATCAGTCTGTCTGTCTGTACTGGCTTATCTCTGGAATTGCTAGACAGATTTTGCATGACTTTATTGGCTAAGGTAGGTGATAATCAACATAGGCCATTTTTATTTGTGAAAATTGAAACAAAAATAAAGTTATGCACTAAAATTCATATTCTACGCGGACGAAGTCGCGGGCAACAGCTAGTTCGTAAATAAAGAATTCGTTTGACAAAATACGTCATTTTTTAGTCAACCTCGCTTTCTTAATCTCTAACTGCAAAGATGATGACTTAAGATATGACTCCGGGTCCGTTTTATTCTAAGACTGACCTTGTTAAGTTGTTGTGCTGCAGTGTCCAGGCGCTGTTTGGCTGCTGCCGTGCTCTTCACAAACTGAAGACGTTTCTTCTCCTGTTGTGCTGAAGGCTCCGTCATAGATGTATCTAGATAAAAAAGAAAAATCCTTACTAAAATTATAAATCGGAAAGTGAGTTTGTTTGTTTGTTCCGTTTTCACGCTGTAACTTCTAAACAGATTACTTTGAATTTTTGCAGACGTAAAGTTAGAAGTCCGGATTAAATAATAGGGTACTTTTTATCCCGGAAAAATTTGATATTCCCAAGGGAAAACAAAAGTATTGGTATAGATGGCGCTGTGTATATCGTTATATGTCACATAGGGTACTTTTTATCCTTTTGTAACGCGAGCGAAGCTGCGGGTAAAAGCTAGTAATTTATAAAACTGCTTTGAACAAACAACTACCAAATGTCTATTAGGATTATCGTGTTATCCTTTATCTAGTAAACCTTTATTAATAATAATCCTACCGGCTTGTCCCACATTGCAGGCATCAGTCAGTCTGTGCAGACTGTCAGCAAGTTGCTGGTGTGTGTCAGTTAAGACTGCACACTGCGCCTGCAGCTCCGGCTGCTCGTGCGCCTGCAGCTGGCAGACTGCTGTCAACGAGTCCGCAGACCCCAGGAGCTGAGAGGCTGCAGAGCTGAGAGCGTCTTGACAACGAGGTGAAGAGATGCTTGGGGCAGTAACCTGCAAACGTTTCCTAAATATAATACTGGTTTTATTTACGCCAATCGCTTACCATCACTTGATCCGTCTACTTTTTTAATTTCTTGTCCCATAACAACAACAGTATATAAGTAATTGAACGCGTCAATTCGATTTTGGTTTGTGTCGGACGCACGCGCAACTCTAGTGACAACACGCCACCTCACTATCCCTCTTCCCCGCCACTGACCGCTCGACGCGTGCGTGGGAGGACGCACGCATCACGCAATAGAACAACGAGTCCCGCGCCGGAGACGCGACGCACGCGCTCCGTATTTGTGCCGCGAAATATTTGAGTTTTATTTTATCGTATTATTGTGCATTTTTTTATATTTAGTTTACTTTAATATATACAGTTTTACAGTCAATAGTGTGTCGAACTTTATTTCACGCCCCTGAGAACCCACACCCACAAAGACAATATCAATTATATTGAAGTAATTAAATACGAGAAGGTCCACAGCTACCTGTGCCACAGCCCCCAATGCGTTAGCAGCGCCAGCAGTCCGAGCAGCCCGGCCGGCCAGCTCAGCTGCTGTGTGTTGTGGCACTTGTGTCTGCAGCCGGTGTGCTCCTGCCACCAGCTGAGCTGCGTGCTCTTGTGCTATTGCCGACTCCTCCATGATCTGCGACGAATGTAGATCATTTCATATCTAATATTTAATAAATTTGTGCCAAAGTAAATTATATAATTTCGTTCTTAGTCACCTCATAAAAATTAAGTGTCATAGGTTCAAATTTTAATCCATTTTGTTTCAGCGTTTTTGTTACTTCAATAAGTTTCTGAAAGCATTTCCCACTTAACTCTTTTAACTGTTCCTTCTACTCTTCTATTGTGTTGAACAAAAGTACTTACAAACTTCTGTCTTCCTTTATCAGCTCCTGGGCTAATGAGGAACAGCAGCTTGCCAGATGCTGCCGCGAAGTTAGCAGCTTCTTCACCTTCAACCTAGAAAAGATTTGAAATAAATACTCGTAGCTTATAAAATACATGTCGGGGCATTGTTCATGGCATTTTAATGGTAAAAATCCTGAAGCATTTTTTCTATGGGAACCTCCCGTCACACATTTTATGTAAATATAGTAAAGAATTTTCTTGACCAAGAGTAGAATTATCGACAATTGGCATAGCAGACGGGCATATAGACATATTACCACTAGAACTAGAATCGCTAGTTTTAAGGTAAAGCTAATTACAATACGAACATGTTTATAGCCGTCTCCTTCACAAATCTTCCTTGTAGCGTCACAGAGGGCGCGGATGTTCTTCTGCATGGCGTTACGCGTCGCCTCGTCCTTGTCGGAGCTCACTGTCTCTGCGTCTAAGGAGAATGAATTATGCAAATTATAGTCACAAAAGAATTGCAGCAGTTGGTGTTTTAAGGATTGAGTGATCACCCTGGTCCATCCCAACACCCAACTTAACTGCTAGCAATAGAGATAATGGAGTGCTCTGCTCGGTACTCTTATGTTTGTAATAACGCTCTGATAATTTTGGTCCCTTTTTAAAAAAAAACTTTATTTTTATAATAACTATCGTGAGACATACTAAATTAACCAAAAATTGAGGCTTGCTCACGTGAATATATTGAGAAAAGCTCTACTAGTTTTGAACCACAGAGGGGGTTCTTCCTTATGAGCAGCGTGTGCGGTCGCGATCATATCGCGCAGCCTACTGTACGAAACTAGTAGAGCTTTTCTCATTACTTTCACAAGAGTAATATGCGATTTTTAGTTAAAAAAAACGTTGTACATATAAGTTCACACACACATGCCACCCGAACCCGGAACACAAAGAATTGCTCTATGCGGGAATCGAACCCGCGACACGTTGCACAGCGGCCAATTGCCCACTTGCCCAGTCATCGCACCAACAGTGCCATTTAAACTGTCATATTCAACCCGCGGCGCCGCGTGAGAAGATTATGACAATCCCCTCTTTGCAGAGAAGTCACATAAATTGCAGACGTTCGCGAGCTATTGAAGATGATAAATTCCTCACCATGTACGATTTGTGGCATCAGCTCTGATATGGTTGCTATTGCCAGCTCCGCAGTCTCGTAGTCTGGGTTCTCTCGGTCTGTGAAACAGAGATAGTGTCAGATCAAGTGTCCAGCTAGTGACACTGACATCGAAAGTAGAACCATGTGTGTCGAAAGCAATAGTATTGATGATACCAAGTTGATATGGAGGTAACTCAGATTCTGTATAATGTCTTAGTATATTGCCTCACAATTTGATTAGGTAGTAATATACTGAATGTCAAAGAAACAAAGCAAAATGAATGTAGACACAAATGTCGAGTAAGCAGGTATTGTGACTAGTGCCATACAAGTTGTAAGCAATTAATCATGAGTGTCAAATAAGTAAATTGTCTAGAATAATGTCATTGATCGCCAAGCTGTAAGATACTGACCAGCAGTAGCAGCAGCCAGTGCAGCGATGGCAGCGTTCAGCTGCGCCATGCTCTGCTCCATGCGACGCTGAGCCTCCGCCTTCTCCGCATCCGACGGTACGCCAGTCGCCGATTGCTGAACATAGATGGCGCTTTTTATAACATTTCATAAATAACACAAAGAAAAAGACAATCGGCTAGGTATGAGTAACTGTCTTGGTTCCCGCAACGAAGTGAATCAGAAGATATTATAAGAGGAGAAGAAGAAAAAACTATAGTTTCCACTTCCCTCGGTGAATTACTGCAGGAGACAGAATGAATTAAGCCTAAAGGTTCAAAGAAGAGACTGTACAACTGGGTGAAGCCCAGTCGCCAGGCACCACGGAAATTTGACTAAAAAACTAAGTGGGTCCTATGTGTGAGCTGTTATACTTGCTTCCAATAATAGGTATGGCAAAAGCGCCTAAACGCACGGAAATTCGTTCTAGATTCCACAAGGTCCGTATAATAAGCTACACCTGACGAAACAATTAAATTATTTAAGATAATGTTACGTTCATATTGCCAGAGATCACATTTTCTTGATATTAGTAAACATTCACCTGTGTAAAGTATGCAAATACAGTCACTTATTGTAATTACAGATGAGTAGGTACATAAGTATGTATAGGTACCTACACAACTTATGCGAATATTTTACATAATTATAATTAGTTGACTCGTGACCACCTTGTCATAAGGTTACGTATTTTTTTTTTAAGGGGGGAAAATCATCGAATGACTGCTCCCGCCTGGGTGAGGCGGGAGAGAGTGTCAGACTCTTACTGACTAAAAACGACCCCGTTCCTTCTCCTGCACGTCGAGCCGGAGCCCCGGTAACCCGTTAGGTTCTCCGCGACCCGAATTTTTGAAGACATAAACAAACACCACATTATTTCGTAAATGGGTGGGTAGAGATGCATAAATATAGCATATACATCGACCACATCTATTCAAGAAATCGATAAAACGTTTACTCCAATCAAAATCAAAGCATTTTAGTAAAAAAGAGACATTTGAACTTCGTAACAAATACTAAAAATAAAATATGTCTGTCAATCCTTTGGCGAAGCTATTCACTTGTTTCAAAGCATATATTTCGTGAAAATATTGTGAAACAAGTGAATTTATTTCTGCAAATAGGCTACAAGGCAGCACTTTTACACGTCAATTTTATCAAGCGAACGAAGAGGTCGACATTTCATAACTGACTATGAGAAGAAATGCCGAAACAAACTCAGAGGTCTAACTATTAACTTTATAGTACCTACTAGAAAATTATCCATTTCTGTTTCCATGGGTTACAGACAAGAATTTATATAAATTAAACTAAATCATATGTAAATCAGGAAGAACATTAAAAGAAATTGTTTCCAATTGTTACATATCCAAATCAGTGCCATTTTATCAATAACATTAATTCTCCATTATTAATAACTTATCAGTACATAAGATACATAATTATTATCATTATAATAATGTAATAGACAGACTATTTATACAATCTTGTACATCTTTATGTATATTTATATTTACATAGGAAGTGGTCGATAATTTCGGCCATCTTGCCAGAGGCGCCGTGGCTTAGTTGGTTAAAGCGCCTGTCTAGTAAACAGGAGATCGCGAGTTCGAATCTCGCCGGGGCCTAGTGGATGGAAATACTTTTTGAAAATTAATTACGATTTAAATGTTTTTGGTATGCTTTTTTTGTTTTTAATAATTTTTTGGTTAAAAAATGTATTATTTGTTGCAATTTAATTGGTTTGCGTTTCTTGTAGATACAGAGAAATGTTGTATTATATTGGTTTTAAAAAAAAATCTCAGTAGTAGCACAGAATCTGGAATTGTGCCCGGTATATTATGGCAATAGGCTCATCCCCTATTACATAACATAAATAGTGAAAAGTGAGTGTTACATTGTACAGTGGCATTAAGTGCCGTAATGTGCACCTCTACCTACCCCTCCGGGGATAAAAGGCGTGATATGTATTATGTTATAGTGACACCGCAACATTACGCTTTTTACTATCTGTAGATGGAAGCAGAGTTGTTTTAACAGTTATTTATAGTCTACTACAAAGTTGTTATTAATTCTTTGCAAGATATTTTTTATTCCAGCTCTGAGTGGCATGTTCATAAAGATGCACTCACGACGGAAGAAAAAACCCTAGTGTTAGATCAATTACGTCATAAAAATGGTAAAAAAGGTGTTTTGACTTCATTGTATAACTGAATGTTGTGAACTTAAGAACTTTTATTATAGGCATCGAAAGTTATAAATAAGAAATATTAGACCCAAATTATTAGACCCAGATTAGATTAGAAATAAGAAATATAAAATATAAAAAAAAAACATTGCCCCACATTAGGATTTTCTCCTATATCGTAGGTGACACCCAGACCCGGAACTACAATCTGTGGATCAGACAAAGAGTTGTTCCGGGCAGGAATCGAGCCCGCGACACGTTGCACGGCAGCCAGTTGCCCAACCACCGCACCAGCCGTGCAGTCGAATATTCATAAGTATTATGAATAAACTCACCTGGTTCCACAAATCCTCGACTCCTTGCAGTCTACCCTTGGCTCCATTCATGGTTGCGATGAACTTGAGCCGCTTCCGCTCTTGCGCTGGAAGTGACGAGTCATCGTCATCGACACCTGTGAATTATTTTAAGCATTTTAATGAATTGTCAAAACATAATGGTGGTCTAGAGGCTGCCGAACAGGGCCTTTTTAAACTACGCTGGGGCTTTTGAGCATACAATAATTCTGGGTCCTTGATGTTTTTTCTAACCCTGACCAAACAACAATTTGTGGACAACACAACAACCCATTACAAGCTACCGGGAGTGTAGCAAGTGTGGGTCCGTCATAGAAATTGTCGGTCGTTTAGAGCCCCCTGAGTATGGGGGCCTTGGACATGGGCCCCAAGTGGCCTTATGGTAAAGACGGTACTAGCTGTCGAGCAAAAGGAGTCGAATCCCGTTCCTGGGTTGGACAAAATATTACCTACACAATCTGTTTTTGATTTTTTTCAGACTCACTAATAACAACGAATGTCTAAAATCGATACTGACCTACAGATTTAGGATTGACATAGTTATTGATTTCCGTTAGTAAGATTTGATCACAAACCAAATAAAAAAATGATAATTATTATTATTCTTACCTCCCAAATTAGCGTAGGCATCCTTCAATCTCTCCAACGCCTTCCCAACATCAACAACCCTGGAGTGCAGCTGGTCATTCATGGGCTGCCTGGTCTGGTCCTCCAGTAGTGGACGCCAGGCTGTCTCCAGCTGGTGGACGGAGGAGCCGATACCTTCGCAGGCTGCCGTGAGTGCGCTCTGGCAGTGTGGCTCGTGGATGGCTGGAGCTGTTAGCTGTGACAACAGGAGATGTAAGAAGTTTCTGGATAAAATAGATCCAATTATTTCATTTCATAATACAACGACGTAATAATTGAACTTACAAACTGTAGAAAAAGCAGACTAGACAAAACCAACTCTAGACTTCATATTGTAGTTTGAGTTATAAAAAAACCAAACAAATGGATTTTCATAGGCAAATAATGTTAGGTATTCAGTAACCGAAGCCTTACAATAAAAATGGTTATAAGGCTTTAAACAAACGAACCGCATTTCAACTGCAATCTAACTGCAGATTGCAGTTCGTATGCAGTTTGAACGCAGTTAAAACGACTGCTATAGAACTGCAATAGGTCGTCTCGAATCATCCAGTGAGTACCTACATCCTGAGGGTACATGTCTGGTCCTAATCTTATTTCAATTCTCAACAGGGAATATGAAAATACTTGTTTCAAAAAATCTCTATCACCTATAACCCTCACCTGTGCACACGCAATAAGGTCAGTAGCAGCTTCTGCGACCCTGACTCCAGCAGTGTCTACGTCAGCTGCAGCAGGCTCGGAGGCTGCCTGGCAGGTCAGCTCGTTGGTGGACACGAGCAGGAGTGACGTCTTGGCACCGACGTCCTTCGCCAGCTCTATTATCTGGATGTGTTAAAGTATCATTAATTATCTGCTTCATAACAATAAACTGAATACTAGTAGTGTATCTTGAAACTAGTCAAGTATCCTCAAGCCATTTCACGGATGTGAGTAAACTATCATTTTGTTTTACTTACTATTAATAGTACAATGTGTCCAGAATCTAAGGCAAGTAGTAAGTAGGTAGGTTTTTAAAGTGGGCCGGCGCGACAAGAGTGATACCACGGCCTCACAGAAAACCGACGTGAAACAACGCTTGCGTTAATTGTGTTTCGTCATGTGATTGAGGTTAACGGGGGCGAATTAGTTCCCCCCCCCCCTCCAAATCTCCCCAATCTGCCCAATCCCTGAAACTCCAACAGTCCTCAAATACCTAATCCCCAAAAGGCCGGTAACACACTTGTAATGCCTCCAGATGTGGTGTTCCAGGTGTCCATGGCGACGCCGATTGCTTACCATCAGGTGATCGGTCTGCTCGTTTACCGGCTTATCCCAAAAAAAGGTGAGTTAATTTTTGTAACAAACCTCATGTTCCTTATCAGCGTTGGTTCCTCGTGCGAACGTGGATATCAACTTGCCAGCGATACCCGCGTACTGGTTCGTCGCTTCTTGCATTTTCTGAAAGCCGATGAATTTTTATACTAGCGGACCCAATAGATGTTGTCCTGCATATCCACTTGAATATATAAACAAAAATTCATTCAAATTAGTTCAGCTGTTTAGGATAGGAACCTAAACATCGACTGCAGCGCCATCTGCCGGGCTGATTTGTGAATCTAAACCATTCCCAGATCCCCTTGAACACGCACAAAAAATGTCATCTTTGAGAGTTTGAGAGAAGTTCAGTGACATACACACTCACAGAAGAATTATATAAATAAAGATTATTATTATCATTGGAACGGAATACATGATGAGGATAGGTCGACTACCGAGCAAGGCAAAGATAAAATAGGTGTTCTGTTTTCGAAAATTCTATTAACAACTTTTCTTTTTTTATTCACTAGTTATAACTGTCGGTAATAACGTACCGATTGGTCTATTTCGTCTCAAGTACTCCCGGGATAATTTCAGATACATGTCAGGCAAAAGTCCCTTAGTAAAGTCATAACATAACATAACATCATAACATCACGCCTTTTTATCCCCGAAGGGGTAGGCAGAGGTGCACACAGAAGTAACACCCACTTTTCACTATTTATGTTATGAGTCCCATGTAATAGGGGGTGAGCCTATTGCCATATACCGGGCACATTTCTAGACTCCGTGCTACTACTGACATTTTTTTTTTTTTTAAATCTCAGTAATACTTTGCCCGACCCGGGAATCGAACCCGAGACCCCTTGCCCGGCAGTCGTCCTTACAACCATTCGGCCAACGAGGCAGTCAAAGTCATATTCAAAAATATATCTATGGCGCCTCTCCCTATACTGACCGCGTGATCCTCAGCGCTGATGGTACCACACACAGCTCTGGTGGCGTCGCACAGCTCCTGCATGTCGTCCAGCAACTGCTCGCGAGACGACGGCTCCAACGTGCTGGCTAGGATTTGTGTATCTGTGGGATTTGTAACAGTGCTTATAAGTATTCTGATTTATGAAAACAAGAAGGAGTTTGATGTCAAGATTATTTATTTGGTTTTAAAAATTGATAGCCTCGTTGGGAAGAACCAGGCTGCACAACTTCGTTGCAGGCGATGGTGGTCCCTGATGAGGCCGAGGATGCTGATTGGCTGCAACTTGATTACCGCTCAGCGGAGAAATGATGAATGAGAGGGATGGCGATACGGATGACGGTGCTAATCTGCTCCGTGAAGTGAAGGTTGTTTCCAATCACGTCGGGGTCACCACTTTAGGGAACAGAGAGTATAGTTCCCTAAGATCGGAAAAGGAGGATCCTCCGACCAGGCGAGGTGATCGTGCCTGGCAGGCTTTCTGCCCAACAGTTGTTCGTTGGGATTTTCTATCCGTGTTTATTCGCTTGTAAACTTTGCATGTGCGATGTAGGATTCTTGTGACGTCATCCGTTGACATGTGTCGCCACAAATGGTTAGGGTTCTCGGGTCGATTTTATTGGTTGGAAAAGTATTTCTTTTTAAAAATTAATAACCACGTAGATTTAAAGGCCAGAGGTCTCGGATCGATTTCATTGGTTTAGAAAATATTGCTGTTATAAAAAGTGCCTCTTTATGCGTTTCCTATTATTAGAAACACTGAAACTAACGTTACCTTTGGCTATTTCAGGCATCAGTTCGTTGATGGCGTTCATAGAGTTGATAGCAGAGGCGTAGTCGATGTTCTCTGGGTCTAAGATAAAAAAATCAAAAGTTAAGCTAAATATTGTTCTTGTTACGGTTTGTTTATTTATACTCTTCAAAACTTATCTTTCAATACAGCAGACGATAGATTAGTAACATATATGATTCACAGACCTTTTAAAACTATCAATTAAGACGTTCGTTTCCCTATAACTTGATACTTACATTTCGCGAACCAGCTGTGCGACAGTCGCCGCGTCGCGGGTCGCGAAATACTGCTCTTAAATTCATATTTATGGGTCCAGAATCTAAGAGCATGTAGTCGTTAAGTTTTTAAGCCTCTAGCATGGCTTGAAACTAGTCGAGTTCCTCGTCAAATTATTACGTGAGTAAGCCAAAAACATAATAATTTATTTAGTACTAGCTTTTACCCGCGGCTTCGCTCGCGTCACAAAAGGATAAAAAGTAGCCTATGTGACATATACCAATACATACATACAAAATTCAAAGCAATCGGTTTAGTAGTTACGGCGTGAAAGTGGATAAAAACAAACAAACTCACTTTCCGATTTATAATGTTAATAAGGATGTCTCACGAAAGTTACGATACAACTTGATACTCATAATTCAGTTCGCAATAATATTTTTTAAAACTCTCCCCATGACGACATCAACATCCCCAGATGATAGTTTAACGAAGTTAACTTAAAAGTTACTTACCAGAATGTGCAGTAAGGTACAGAGCTATGGCAGCATTGAGCTTGCCCATTTTGTCTTCGAGAGCCTTCTCCAGCTGCATACGCTGAGCAGCATCCGGCTTTGGGCCTGTATAGTCCTACAAACAGACAAAATGTTATAAAAACGAATCACAATAACAATGCACTGTTGGCATATTGATGGATTGTGAATAGACCTCCGATAACCTCACTCACATGGCGAAACACATCGTTACCGTTACCTATACATTTACCATTGGTATCTCGCTGGTGAGCCGGCCCAGCAGTGCCTGCCGAAGCATGGCTTTCCCACATGAAAAATATCATCTATTGTCATATTTACCTCATTCAGCGTCTCCACAGCGCTATCCAGTGCGTGCTGCGCGGAGTTTGCAGCCGCCAGGAATGATGCACGGCGCATGCTCTGTTCTGATTTCTCGCCTGCCTTCATTTTGTTGCGGGAACGCTGCGCAAGAGTTCGCATATGATTTATATATTATTTTATATATATATATATCATGGGTAGTTTAACTAAATTCCTCCTTACTTTAAATGTACAGCTTGTAGGTTAGGTAAAGTCACTTAAAAATTGTGTTTACATGGACAAATAGAATACTACTACAAGTATGTAGTAAGTTTTTTTTATAGCATAAGCCGGTAAACGAGCGGACGGATCGCCTGATGGTAAACAATCGGCGCCTCCCATGGACACCCGAAACACTAAGTTACAAGTGCGTTACCGGCCTTTTGGGAATTGGGAATTTGAGGATTGTGGAGGATTCGGGGATTCGGGAGACTAGGGAGGGAGGTAATTGGGCCTCGGTAACCTCACTCACACGGTTTTCTGTGAGGCCGTGGTATCACTCCGGTCGAGCCGGCCCATTCGTGCCGAAGCATAGCTATCCCACACTTATTAATAAGCAAGTAAACTTTTGTTTTTTTTTTTACTAATGTAAATTACATTACAAAACTAAATTACGTAGCTTACTACTACCAATTACGTTACTAAATTACATAATGTAAAGTAATTACAAAAGCTTAAAATAATAATTATTGCACTGTTGACATCATGCAACACCCACAAAATCGTAACAGAATAATTTTATTATAAACCTACATATTATGTATTTTTATTAAAAACAAAACTAATCTTCCAAAGTATAACTAACCCTGATCAGTTCACTGCGTCTCCTAGTCTTTGGGTCCAAGGAGAAGTACACCTGTGTAGTGAGATCTGCTATGTTCTCTGCCGCATCCTTTGCACCCTCACGGTCCTGGTCAAAAAATAGTAACAAATCATTAACAGCTTCATTGTCGTGTTTTGTCTTTGGCTTAGCTGTTGGACGCGGTTCAGGAGTACCTATAAGTACTTAGTTCCTGACACGAACGATGATGGCTAGATTCTTATGCATCCTGCGGGTCCGAAACCTGACAATTGCCAATATAAGTTTTGACATATTTTTTTTGTGACAAGCCCGCCACAGCCTCTTAAAACCGCTGCAACTCCTGTAAGCCAGGATCTACAGTAGATACAACGATGAAAACACCGGAACATTGAAGTCTGGCGCGTCCAAGGGACATGAGTAACTGTCTTGGTTCCCACAACGAAGTGAATCAAAAGATATTATAAGAGGAGAAGAAGAAAAAACTATAGTTTTCACTTCCCACGGTGAATTACTCCAGGAGACAGAATGAATTAAGCCTAAAGGCACAAAGAAGAGACTGTACAACTGGGTGAAGCCCAGTCGCAAAGCACCACCGAAATTTGACTAAAAACTAAGTGGGTCCTATGTGTGAGCTGTTATACTTGCTTCCAATAATAGGTATGGCAAAAGCGCCTAAACGCACGGAAATTTGTTCTAGATTCCACAAAGTCAGGTTCGACATCTTAGTATAAAATCGGCGATCCTTCTTGAGCAAGAGCTGTGTGGTTCCTATTTTGGTACTAACAAGGTGGGTTTTATAAAGGAGTCCCCGTAATCCATAGTCTTTATCCCTAAAACCTAAATGCCACTAGAAGGTTTTTCCCTTATCCTTTAACAGAAAATAGTGTATAAACATTAAAAGTTTTTAAAAAAGACTAACGATAGAGTTTCTTCCTCGTTCTTGTCCAAACAAATCTAGCTTCACTGATGACCTATTCAATTTTGACGTTGCAATCATTCCTGTTTAAGGATTAAATGAAAGTAATATCTAATTTGGAACGAGCAAATCACTTCACTAGAGTACTGAATCACACTTTATTTGACTTTCAAAAGTGCCTTCTTGTGCTTCTTGGGGTAATTGAAATAAATGCTTTGCCTTTATTAATTAGTAGTAATAAATTAAATGACTTACGAAATGTCCGGATGCGGTAGCAGCATCCAACTTGTTCATAAAGTTGTTCAGGTCGTGCAGTTCATCAAGGAGCATCCTCTTCGCATCCTCAATGGCTTGCTTATCTGCCGTCTCTTTCACGCCTAGAATACACGTTCATGTTAAATTTGCGAACAGTAGATGGCGCTGGTAACGTTTTAAAGGCCGTGATTACAATTTTTTCTGAGTTATACTGTACAGACAGACTCTTCTCTATGTATCTTTATTTTTTTAATATGTATTTCAATAAGTCAGATATGGAATATTTTAGTTAAGACAATAATCGTATTTTAATAAAAATCACCAATTAAAAAGAATACATACTATACCTCTATAATAAATTGTAGGTACTATTTTCCTACCTTTATCGATATCTGGGAAATCTTCTTTCATAGCTCGCACAATCTTTTGGATTTCTTCATAGTCATGTTCCGTGGGATCTAAAAAGATTAAAATATTTTTTTAACACAATAGCAACAGCATGGATTTCAAAGATTAAGCTCGTGTTTAGTAATAGGCTGTCTCCAAGTACACGGTACATAACATATCTGGCGACAAGCGATCGTTCTAATCCAAGATGTTTGCCTCTGCTTACCTCGTCGGAATCAAAAGTATGACATTACCTGTGAGTAGTCCTACGATCTTCACAGAGTTGGAGTTCATCTTGTTCAGTTTCTTGATGCAGTCCTTGGACATGTCACTGCGGAGCGGCATCTCTCCTTTCTTTAAAAAACCACAGTTGACTGTCAATTTTATGGGGTACACGAGCTGGTAGATCGCCTAGTAGTGAGTGACCAGAGCCTATCATGAGTGGGTATTTATGGCAGGCAACACTGGAGGTGATACAAGCACGTTACCGGCCATTTGTATTACGAGTTCCTATTCTCATTATGTTTACTGCAGTACTTACCAGAGCCATTTGCTGGTTCTGGAGATGGTCAGTAACCACCAGCTGCTGCACCGTCGTGATCATTGTACCGGACTGCGGCTGAGAACCTGGAGACAATCATGTGGACAATAAATACATCATCATCATCTTCATTATAAGCTGAGATTTCATCACCATAATGTCCCCCCATAAAACGTCCACTGCTGAACATAGGTTTCTCAAATTACTTCCAGATTGGCCGGTTGGAAACGACCTGTGTCCTACGGCTAACTTACTGTGACTGTGGCCTTCATTAGGTTATTGTCTCTCTACCTTACGGGTGCACGTTATAAGTAGGAACAAAATTTAAAAATTATTGTAAAAAATACTGGTTAACTAAAGGAATACAACTTTCATGCAAAAATAAAAGACTATTAAAAACTTTATGTATAAAATCTAACAATCCAATTATAAAGAAATATTACAGAAATTATGAAAAAATATTAAAACTTACAGTAAACAAAGCCAAAAAATTACATTACATAAATAAATTAAAAATATCGCAAAACAAAACTAAAACTATGTGGAATATTATACGTGAACGTACCAATAAAATACCAATTAGAGAACCACATAATATTCAACTACAAATAAAAAATACTCTAATCTCAGATCCTAATCAAATAGTAAATGAATTTAATACATTCTTTGCATCAGTCGGGGAAAAAAGTATACAAAAATCAGACTATAAATCGCAGAACTTGCCTGTACTTAACTCCACTTTAAACACTTTCTTCCTTGAACCAGTGAACTATCGTGAAATATATAATATCATAAATAATCTTAAAAATAAACAAAGTTTCGGTATAGACGAACTTCCTCCTTCCCTTATTCGACAATGTGCAAATGAACTTACACTGCCCTTCTGTGTACTAATCAACCAATCCTTTGAAGACGGCGAATTTCCTGATCTACTAAAGAAAGCTATAATTAAGCCAATACATAAAAAAAACTCTAAAACCGACCCGAATAACTACCGCCCCATAGCCCTACTACCAACAGCTTCAAAAATTTTCGAAAAAGCTATGTGCAACCGCGTATACAAGTTTTGCGAAAAATATGAAATTTTTGATGAAAGCCAAAACGGATTCCGCAAACAGCGTTCAACAACCCTTGCTGTCTATAAATATATGCAGGAAGCCATTAATATAATAAATAGCAAACAATATGCAGTCGGAATACTCCTAGATATGACTAAAGCGTATGACAAAGTCCAATTTAAAATTCTACTAGATAAATTATATAAAATAGGAATTAGAGAAAAAGCGCACAAATGGTTTACTTCATATCTAAAAAATAGAGAGCAATACGTAGAAATAGATAATTATAACTTTGAATTTAAAGAAATTATAAACATTAGATCGGACAAAAAAATCATAAATGCGTCAATACCGCAAGGTAGTGTAATCGGATGTCTACTCTTCTTAATTTACATCAATGACCTCCCGAAGATTACAAAGGAACCGTGTGTACTATTTGCAGATGACATATCACTACTCACCTCATGCAAAAATATGAACGGATTAAATGAACGGCTCAAAAACACTTTTGTTAAAATAGAAGAATGGATGAGAGAACATAATCTTGAAATCAACTACCAAAAAACTAAATTAATAACCTTTCATCCATATCAAAAGTCCTCATTAGAAATAGATTTTTCAACCAACTGTATAAAAATAGAAAATGTTAAAGATTTCACACTATTAGGAATAACCGTAGATACAAATTTAAACTGGAAGACTCATGTAAAAAATATCCGAGCAAAAATATCAAGATTCGCCTACGCTTTCCGGGAAATCAAGAAGACCACTGACTTTCAGACTACATTATCCACTTACTATGCCTACGCATATGCGTGGCTTAGCTACGGAATTATTTTGTGGGGAAATAGCACAGACACACCTTCTCTTTTCACTCTTCAAAAAAAACTTATCCGCATCCTAACTAATATAGACCAAACTGATAGTTGTCAACCCTACTTTAAAAAACATCAAATACTTACCTTACCATGCATCTACATTCTGGAAATATGTAAATTTGTGAGAAACAATATTGCCTTCTTTACAAAACGTGGAGACAAACATGCAAACAGATCACTAAGACATAAAAACCGACTACTGTTACCTACTTCTAATATGAGCCTACATTCCAATAGTCCGTATGTAATGTCTATAAAAATATATAATAAGCTACCAGAAGCCCTAAAGGAAGAACCCAGAAATATAAAATTTACCAATAAATTAAAACAAATACTCATAAATAAAGCATATTATAATATTAAAGAATATATTAATGATAAAGATTTAAAATAAATACTGTAATTAAAAATTAAATATATGTACGACATATATAATATTAATGATTAAATCACCTATTACAATAGACATATTTAATATATATAACGAAAAAAAAATTAAAATAAATGTTTAATATATAAATATATGAACCTACATAGAATATATAAGTACATTTTACATAAATAATACTAATAGCATTACAAAATAAATTGAACAAAATAACTACTTATAACTAGTAATAAAAAATCTGCGATACATAATCTAAACAAAATTAGCGTCCTCCTCTCTTCTACGTTGCCGTGCCCTACAGGGTCCATACTGTACTATATTATTATGTAACACCTTATAAACATATGGAGTGCAATAAACGTATTGAGTATTGAGTATTGAGTATTGAGTATTGAACATTTATATGAACACTTAAATATGGCATCTGCCTTCTTATCAAGTTAAAGCAGCTACTTATGTAATTCACCGGTTGTTGTTGTCACTCACCGTGTTCACTGGTCATGAGTTTGTTAGGACCGACAAATGTCTCGGTCACTATCTTGGATGGGTTGTTGGATACATGCTGGATCAAATGACTCCTGTAACAAAGGTATTACGTACGATACATTTACCATCGTCATCATATCAGCCACAAGCATCCACTGAGGAAAATAGATCTCCCCAATGACTTCCAGTTCCAGATTGGCTGGTTAGATGGAAGCGATCAGCATCCAGGGCTTCCTGTGACCTTTCTTTTAGCCAACACACTATTACTCACGTGCCCTGCTGGATGTTATCATGGCAGATAGCCATGGACTCGCCAGGATCCCGGCATGGTTTGGCCAGCATCCGACGTCTGATGATGTCGATGTAGCCCTCCAAGATGTCACGGATTCGGTGGCAATCTTGTGTTTTTACACTGTACTCTTTGTCACTGTAAAAACAAAGCACATTAATTATTTATTAGGATTTTTATGGTACATACATAAAGTAAACGAGCACATGGTCCTCTAGATGAATGGATGGGCTATCAATACTGGCAACGTCGCAGGTATGAATACGTACATAAATCGTAAGACTGATAAGTCGCTAGCCTATGAGCAAATTAGTTGAAGATCAAATGACGTTTGGAGAGACTACAGGCTTTCATCTGCAGACGCCCCTCAAGTAGAGAGCACATCAGCTCTCTTTAATCTCTTGACAGGTACAAAAGACACTAATTAGCGGACTAGTGAATTATTTGATGAGAGCAAGTTAAAAGATATTTTTATGAGAGAATTTGAATTAAATACTTTGCTTCCAAATCCAACAAACCTATAATCTCCGAAGTTGAGTGTGAAGGTCTGCGACTTTCCTGCGTGGTACGTCTTCACATGAGTGAGCGGCCACTCTTGCAGGATCTCCTTCGTCACCTCATCCAGCCGCAGGATAGCGTGGGAGTTGATGCCCAGCAGACGAGGAACAAGCTTCTTCTTGTCTTTTTGTTTCTCCTAGTGCAACATATAATTGAAAATGTGATCTTATGAAAGCAAACATTCTTTGTAATGAGCTATTTTTATCAAAACTATTTAAATATATATACAAGGTGTAAACGGAACGCTCCCGAAAAATGCCGACAGATTATGGTCAAAAACCAGTTTTATTTTCATGAAAGTAAGGAATTAAATGTTTCCTTTATGTAATAATTGTTGTAAATAATCGCTCAAGGCTAACGTTGTATGAATAACATGTAAACAACAGCGATTAAAATTTTAAAAGCTGTTATTTTTGTCAGGGTTCCGTTTACACCCTGTATGGTGATCAAAGGTCGACCTATTAAGTAATTAAATAAATAAAAAACCATTAAAGTACGTATGGTAAATCTACTACAAGTCTGGGTTAAAAACAATATTACTAGACCAGTAGAGTATATTACCTAAATCAGTTGCCATAACCATACCTTGACCAAGAAGAAAGTGACTCCGTAAGTAGGCAGTGACCTAGCAGTCTTGATGTACAGGAACTTGGCCTCCAGCTCACTCAGCCCCTGGTGCTGGGAGAACTCTTTCACAATCTTCTTCTCAATGTTCCATGCATTCAGGTATTGAGCTGGCAGGTACTCTTCAAAACTAGGAGTTTTGAGACAGAGAAGTGTTTTATAGGATTATAATTATTACAAATTTTTTGATCAGACAGCCTCGTTGTCCGAGTGGTCGCAAGGGCAAGGCAAGAGGTCTCGGGTTTGATTCCCGAGACAGGCAACGTATTACTGGGTTTTTTAAAAACAAATCCTTGTAGTAGCACGGAGTCTGGAATTGTGCCCGGTATATGGCAATAGGCTCACCCCCTATTACTTGGGACTCATAAGATAAATAGTGAAAAGTGGGTGTTACATTGTACAGTGGCATTAAGTGCCGTAATATGCGCCTCGGCCTACCCCTTCGAGGTTAAAAGGCGTGTACATTATTTGATGTGGTTAGTTACTGTAGTGGATGGTTATTCTAATAAACTGGAGAAAATTATAATATTTTTGCTCAATCGTCTTCGGTATTTTGTCTGATGTAGAAGCCCAGTGCCTCTCATGGACAATACGCAATACAACACAAAGTCCCAACACTAGACAAGTTGCACACAAGTGTTCATGAAAATCGGTAAATTAAAATAACTTTCTCATAATATACATAGTACTTACTACATGGAGTCCTAGTAGTTCTCTACTTACTTCTCAATAAAGCCTGGTTTGTGTTTCTTCTCCTGGTAGTCCCCTAACTGCACCTGGCACTGGATACCCGCGAACTGAACAGCTACAACCAAGAAAAATATGTTACACTACATTTGTGCTTGATAAACACTCTTTTTGGGATTGTAAAATCATCCAACGACTTCTCCTGCTATGGGTAAGCCGAAAGGAAGTATCAGACTCTTACTTTACTGACTATAAGCGAACATCCATATTCTTGGCATGACATAGAAATCCTGGAGCGCACCCTACAGTCTAAAAACTAACTTTAATTTGAAATACCTGGATCTTTGATATGATGTCTTTGATAGAAACTGAGGCCGTAGTACAAGTGTTTTTTACGTTTAAAGTAATCGAAACGAGACTGCCTTCGGCGCTCCGATTGGCTAGTTCATTGGTGCCGGCCAATCAGAGCGCCGAACTCGTACTCGTTACGATTACTTTAAACGTAAAACACACTTGTACTAAGGCCTCTGAATAGGAAGGGGGAGTATCATTTAATTGGATTCATTATTCTGGCCTATGTGTTCTCGAACAAGGGTTTCACAATAATATAGCACGTAATTCGTGATTTGTAAACAGTGAAGGTATTGCAGTTAGCAGTAGCTATACCACTAGACAATCGGTGAAGCGTCACCGATTCATGTTAGATACCCACCCACACGCACCAAGCGCTTCGCATTAAGCTTCCTTGTGCGTACTGCTAAGGAGTGGAATTCTTTGCCAGCGTCTGTATTTCCTGAAGGGTATAAGCATTCAGAACTAGATGTGTTCCACGATAACTCGTATGTCATACGGAAATTAATGTATAAGTTTTTAAATATAAACTCAATAATATAGGAACTATCTAAGTGATTAATATTGTAATAGGTTTAAGTTTCTTTTTTGTTTGTATCCTAGAATGTAAGTATTTTAGCTCTTGCTGTAAACTTTAATTTTAATGTAAATAAATAAATAATTAATAAATAAATAACCTGGGTGTCTTCAAGGCCCGAGTAAATTGGTTGCTTAAGTGACGCCGTTCTCCATCGTGGACCGCATCATCACCCGCATCGTCAACCCATCAAATATAAAAAATGCCATAGTGTCTCTACCTACCTATTACATAAGTATGCAACATTTACGTTTGGAAGTATATACATATAACTAGAACAATGTTCATTGAAACGAAACAATAGTTATAGGTGCAGGAAGGAAACTAAGCACGATCTCTATCGGGTTTAAATGCCTAGTTGCGCAATGTATTATTGCGTATTGTAGATTTCAAAAATCTCGATAAATCGCCACCGCCTATAATAGGATAACTCAACCAATGACGAAAATATGAGTGTTTTTAAAAATCATCAGCCCATGTTATCATAACATCATGAATTATGATACAACACTGGCGATTTCATCTCATAACAATAACATATTATACACTACCTTTTACCCGCGGCTTCGCTCGCGTCACAAAAGGATAAAAAGCCAATGTGACATTTACCAATACACACAGCGCCATCTATACCAATACTTTTGTTCTCCCTCGGGAATATCAATTTTTCAGGGATAGAAAGTATCCTATTATTTAATCCGGACTTGTAACTTTACGTCTGCAAAATTTCAAAGCAATCGGTTTAGTAGTTACGGCGTTAAAGAGGAACAAACAAACAAACTCACTTTCCGATTTATAATATAAGTAAGGATAAGTAAGGATGATTTTGAAGATAGTTTATATGGTTTAGGTTTGTTAGGAAGCGCTGCTGCCCAGTCTCTGTTAAATACGTAGTCCTTTACTCGTTTCTTACCTGCGTCACCCGTGGGAAGAGAAGGGGTGGCAAATGAATACTACTCAGCTCTCATAAATAATAAACACGAAAATCAAACAACAGATAAAACGTATAAAAAAATAATAGTATTTATTGTCAAAAGTCTAAAACAAGTATAACACTATCTATTACTACTACTGCCAGGGGTCTGATCATCTTTATTAACAATCTGCTGCAGCTCATAATCCTGGACCACCTGGAAGATCTTACTCTTCGCCTGGTTCAAGTAGTAAGGGCTGAACTTCCTTAGCGTGGAACCTATAGTCAGGAGAAACACGTCTAAAGGATCAGCAGGGTTCAATTCTTGAAACATTTGGTCTGAGAAATCTCTGGAAGAATTTGCGGACGCTTCATCAGTCTGTCTCTTTCTGAATACAGGTTTCGTTTCCCGTGGTTCTTCAAAGTCTAAGGTCTCATCCACGTAGACTTCTGATGGCATTTCTATTTCGGAGGGCTCGTCAAGGAATTCAGGGTACTCCTCGGCGGTGGTGCTGGTGGAGGAAGACTCTCTGAAGTACGGCATCATGAAGGAGATCTCGTCTTCGTATTTGTACTTATAGCTGTATGCGTTGGGGTTCCGGAGTCGATCTCTGACTTTCCTCCTCATCATATCTCTTATGTTTATCCATCTTGATTTGCAAACGAGGGCTGGAAAGATAGAAATATTATCAGTGCGTTTTGTAATAGTATAACTATAACTCGTACTAATGTTTGAATAGCTAAGTAATTTCCTGCCTAGTACCTCAATTTAAAGTTAAGTTTCATAATTTTCCTAACATTTTAAAAAGAACCAAAGCATACAATTCTAGACTCTAGTAAACAATAAGTATCCTTATGTATTAAGTGCTTACGATACTTAATCAGTAACTAAATCGGTACATCACTATACAATTAGATAGTTAGGTTATAACTAACACTATACAAAAAGTTTCCGATCAAATAATGAACTAATATATGTTCCTAACCATTGGCTTTTTTATGGGATAAGCCGGTAAACGAGCCGACGGATCACCTGATGGCAAGCAATCGGCGTCGCCCATGGACACCCGGAACACTAGAGGCGTTACAAGTGCGTTACAGATTGGGGAAGTGGGAGCGGGTAGTTGGGCCTTTGATAACCTCACTCACACGACGAAACGCAACGCAAGCGTTGTTTCACGTCGGATTTCCGTGAGGCCGTGGTACCTATCTATTATTCATGCCATTCATGGAGAATATTTTTAAAACCCGTGCTTAGAAACATTGATCACTTAGTGACCTCTTGGTTTTTGTACCTATTTATTTATTTGGATTTGGATGACGTTTGGTACCTATTTATTTATTTAAAAAAAAACTTTGCCCCACACTAGGATTTTCTCCTGTGTCGTGGGTGCGTTTACAAACATTCAATTACACATACACATGACACCCAGACCCGAAACAACAATCTGTAGATCACATAAAGAGTTGTTCCGTACGGGAATCGAACCCTCGACAGGTTGCGCGGCAGCCAGTTGCCCAACCACCACGCCAACCGTGCAGTCATTGAAGTTTCACTAGAGAGATGCTGACAAATCATGTCAAAAATATCTATTGAATTATCAAACCAATAAAATCTACATACAAGAATAAATCGATTAGGGGCACAAATGAATCGATTTTATTTTCTGATATGAGATATTAATTTTAAAATTAAAATCTAAATATTTTTTATCCATTTATCAATTGGAGTTAATTATTGCTAATATTTATTTTATGTTTTTTTTAGACTGCCTCGATGACCGAATGGTCGCAAGTACAACTGCCGGGCAAGGGGTCTCGGGTTCGATTCCCGGGTCGGGCAAAATATTACTGGGTTTTTAAAAAAAATGGCAATAGGCTCACCCCCTATTACATGGGACTCATAACATAAATAGTGAAAAGTGGGTGTTACTTCTGTGTGCACCTCTGCCTACCCCTTCGGGGATAAAAGGCGTGATGTTATGTGTATGTATTTTTATGTTTTCTACGAAATAGAACCAGTGTAAAATGGATGACCTTATGTCACAATGTCACAGATAATGTCATCGAAAACCCATGAGAGAAAGAAGCGACTATAGTTACAATATTTGATCGGTAATATTTCGGTATCTACCTCTACCTATATAGGTAGGTCCTAGGTACGTTATATACTCATAATATCAACATACTTATTTAATTACGCATTCACGATAACACATTCACTCAAATAAAACAATGTAACGAAAGGCTCAAAGGTTAAAACGGTAGAAAAACATTATCACAATGAATTATCAACATTAACGACTTTGACATAAAGTTTCTTATTCTCCGTCTTTATATTACAAGGCAAGAATTCTGCTCACCGCCTAACAGAACGAATAACATCTAAACCTAGTGACTAACAACTATGATAGTTACTACCTAGTCATAAACATATAAAACAAATTGATGATAATATAAAACAATACCCTTCCTACAGTCAGGTAAAAACATTCAAGTATGAACTCAATCACTCAGAAAATAAGGTATAAATAAAAAAGCAACTTACCTGGCCGGTTTAATGCGTCTCCAATTTTCTGCCAGACGACTTCTCTCGAATCGAAATCCAAATATTTTGAGTGCTTAGTGTTGTATAGAATTGGATTTTCTTTGACTAATTTTAGTAATTTTAAGTCTAAATTTTTGTTAAACGGCAGCGGCATCGTATCGGGCTCGTGTCGGCGTCGCGACTGCGCGGGTCGCACAGCGGCAGAGCGGCAACGTCGCGGCCTCGTTACGTGTCGCACTCGTATCCGTTCGTATCGCGACCGGTTTGTAAGGGACGGCGCGCATTCCAGATTACTTGAAGGTAATTATCGTACGTAATCATTTTAATGACACTCAAGTTTTAGTGATTAGATTGTGGGAATTAGGTAAGTGGGTATGTGCTGGTGGTATGCGGTAGGTATTGCAATCAATTTTATTGGTTATTGATTTTTAATAATGACTTAGGTTTTTAATGTAACTTTAATAACTATTTCTTTCCGTTTAGTATCAAAATGTCGCTAAGTAAATATTAGTTATATGTTTGAGTCCAGAAATACTTATTTTCGATTCAATACTCTATAGGTACTCATAAAAAACAAATAGGTTTAACCTAACAATATTCAAAACATAACAATAAGTAAGGTAACACTAAGAAAAAATAACCAACAAAATCAAACCCAAGACGTCTATATTTAGAACTAACAGAATAAAAAAAAACGCATAACTTAAAGAAATGAATGCGACAAAAAGTCGGCGGGAAGTCGTCACGTGTCGGGCAGTGTGCGGCCGCTCCGACGGGGCGACGTGACGATGTGTGCGTGAGCTATCGATCCCCCGGTCATTGTACCGTCACTACTTTGGAAACTCGAAGAGAACTCACTTCGTGTGTAACGCAATGCAATGTATTGAGGTAGAATAATAATAAAAGTTAATTTTATGGCCGAAAGTATACTTAGAAATACTAAATAATAATAAATAGTAGAAAATTATCGATCTTCATCAATTTCTAGTATTGAGGTTTGATAGGCTAATAAAATTATTTTGAATAATACTCATTTGACATTATTAAATGCTTTATTTGCAACAAAATCAACAATTATTATCTAAATGTCATTAAGTCACTTGTTCCACGTAACAGGAAAAAAAAATTATTATTACACTTATAATATCATAAATACGTAAATAAATTATAACACAACTCATAATTTAAATTCTCAATAATAATACTAAGTAAAATAAACGTACTCTTTGAGACAACACAAAATAATCAACATTTTAGAATGTATTTACTTTAGTAAGAATCTGAATACGAAAATAACTTTTATATTTTGCAGCATAAGATTGATTTCAGGATATGAAGTCCTATCCTGAATAGTAACTTTGTGTAGTTGCAATTTTAATTTCAGACCCTTCAGTCGAAGGTTTCTGACGTTCTACAATCTGCTGTAAATCATGATCTTGAACCACTGCGAAAATCTTGCTCTTTGCTAAATTCAAATGATATGGAGAAAAAGTCTTCAATGTGGATCCGATACTTAGTAAGAACGCGTCCACAGAATCTGACGCGTCTAACTCTGTGGTCATACTTTCATTAAACATAGGGACCGTGTGAGTAACCTCTTCAAAATGCGGTTCCTGTTTCCTCTTGGACCTTTTCTTTCTAGTTTTAATTTTCTTCTTTGGTACGTCTGAATCTTCATCGCTGCGTTGATGTTCTTCTTCGGGTGGGTCGACCCAGGAGTTGGGTCCTCTTTCATCTTCCTCTTCATCATTGAGTCCTGTTTGGACAAAATTAATGTCTTTGTAGAAAGGTTTCATGAAAGTAAGTTCACTCTCATATTTGTATGACTTCGACGGGTTCGTCGGGTCCATTAATTTTTTTCGTAGTATTCTTCTGTGTACATCTCTTATGTTTACCCATCGTAATTTGCAGTCGGCAGCTGAAATAAAATGAAAAATTAATAAAAAGGAACATTGAATTCTATGCAACAAAAAATGCCTTTTTTGTATGAAATAAACCGATGAACGAGCAGACGGATCACTGATGTTAAGCAATTGACATCGCTTAAGGCCACCCGAAACACCAGAGGTGTTACAAATGCGTTACCGGCCTTTTGAGGATTAGGAATTTGAGGGTTGTTGGTGATTCAGGAATTGGGGATATTGAGAGGGACTGGGCTTCCGGTAACCTCACTCACACGACGAAACAACGCAAGTGTTGTTTCACTTCGGTTTTCTGTTATTCGTGTCGAAGCATGGCTCTTCCTCACTTAAACATCACTAAGACATTACAATTTACCAATCATGAACGTCACATACAAAACGAACTCACATTCATCTCATCGCAACTCGAACGTGATGTCATCAAAACAAATAGTAATAACAAATCGTGAAATCTAAATATTACTTACCGGGTTTTTTTAGAGCGTCGCCTATCTTCTGCCAAGCGACTTCTCGTGAGTTAAATTCCATGTATTTCTCATGGCTTGTGTCGTATAGCACGGGGTTTTGTTTGACAAGGCGAATGAGTGTTATATCGTGGTTGTCGTTGAACATCATGGCGTACACTGGTCGGTGACGCGTGTCGTCGACTCGCCTCGATTCGTCGGCCGTCGGCGTCGGCCTCGTCGTGTCTCGGTCGGTATCGTTACCTCTCGCTCGCACAGTTTTATGTTAGGTTTTTATGGTGACCAATGTTGTTGATAATAATTTTTAACAGATCGAATTTATTTTAAATTAGTGAAATTTTATTATGCTTTTGTTTTATTTTAGATACCTTTTTAGAAGATGAGGTTTTATTTGGATACAAAGGTTTAATGTTGAACCTTTTTTTCAACGTCCTTGTGTTGAATCCTTAATATTATTTGAAAAAATTAAATCTAATTAAATTTAGATTATCATATTTTGAAACTGAATTTGAATATGTCTAGAGTTATTTACATAATTTCTAGATAAGTTATCCCGTATTCCATAATTATAAACTATGTGGGTACTATTAAGGGCAATCCGTTTCTATTTTCAACAAATTATTTCCGTAGATTGTAAACATAGATAGAACGTTTTAGTAGTTTTTGAATTTATCGCCAACACATAGACGCAGCACATGTTAATATACTTACATTACACAATGTATAATAATACTTTTAAAAAAGAAATCCAAAGAACTGAAGCTAAAAATCATGTCAATCTTTTTAAATTTTAATTTTGCATTCAAATCGGTTAGAGGGGACTCATAATTGACTGCCGTGCGCCATGTAAACCCGGACTGCAGGCATCGCACGAAGCTATCGTACCCATACGTATCTGTAGTATCGGGCATCGGGCTGCGCTGCGCTGACAACGCAGTGGGGCGACGCGATGTGTCGTGTTACGTTCGCCTCGACATTAGCGAGACGATAATACACTTTACAAAAGATGATAATAAGCATACTAAAGTTAAAAACAATATAAGATCGTTTAAAATAGCTAGAAATGGAGGAAGTTCATCAGGGTAGGGCCGAAATTAATAAGAATAACCAGTATAAAACTATAATATTTCTTTTTTATAAGATCGGCCGACGTTTGGGCTCTATCTCGCTCGCCTGGCGGTAAGCGATGATGCGGCCTACGATGGAGCACATCTGTCCAAAAACAAACCTATTATCTTAAGCCTTAAAGACACCCAGGTTATACTTACCATTAAGGAAACACAGACTCTTTTCGTATATATAGATGTAGATTTTTAACATTAACCTTTTGAACGCCAGAGCAATAACACATGAATCTGCCCTCTACGCCAACCCACAAATTCCGCACAAACTAAGAAATAAATAAATAGGTATTCCAAAAAGGAATCAAATAGTTGATTTCATGTACTTATATATTTGGGTCGTTGGCGTCCAGGGACAGCTTTCGTTTGTCACTTTTTTTTAAAGAAAGAATAAAATAAAATAGTTTATTTGCATCGTTATAAAAATTAAACAAAAAAAAAACGAGAAAAATAATAAAAAAAAACAGAACAGGGTGCAAAAAGGCCAGTGCTCAGCTAATATGCCGTGACCCGAGCGGGATAGGTCGAGTCGCAGCGCTGACTTCCAGCACTAGGCCATTGCTAGAATTTCACGACGATCTACCTGTTGAATAACTGTACCTACAGTTGTACGTAGTACCTACTAATAATGATTAGATAGGGTAGTTGCTTAAATTTTATTAGGGTAGCAGGTAACATTAGACACGTATTTTTTATTTTCTCACAAACTTAAATACTTTCGACGATATTATAATCTGAAATATCGAGTGACGTCACAATACGCTACATTTTGTAGCACTTAGTGACGTAACGACCTACCAATCCTAAACTTAACACCTTTTTATCTAACTATTATAACTATAAACGAGAAAATAAAAAAATACGTGTCAAATATTTTTTCATTATCTAACTAACGGACTAATTTGATTTTTAATTTTTATTCCCTAGGAATTACCCTATTGTGAAAAGCCATAGAAGTATGTGTAGATAGTAACGTAATGTACCTAAAGAAAGGTACCCAAGTTATCTTATAAATAAAAAGGTCTTAACAACCACCTTTATCACACAAGTACAGACGAATATAAACCATAGCATCTCGCAATAAGATCCAAAAACAAACGAATAAAACATTAACCCATAATTTATACAATTTAAAGACATGAAAATAAACCATATCGCCTTTAAAACAAGATTCAAAATCCACTGACCTTGCTGTTCAGTAACTGGATGTGTACCATTGAGGATGGTGTCTCTAGTTTGCACGTACAGCAGGTGGAGCTGGACTGGATCCCTGGAGTCTACGTTACGGTCGGAGTAGTAGAGCCTCCTCTTCAGCAGCAGGGTCTCCTTGGGGTCTATACCTTGTTCCCGGAGAGATCGGTGCAGGTCCAGCCATTCCACTGGAAACAGATGGAATGTTAGTTAGAGCGGTAATAGAACTGATGGATTATCTGATGGTAAGCAATTGGCGCTATCTTGAACACCAAAGGAGTTACAAACGAGTTACTGACCTTTGGGTGCTTTATGGGAAAAAATAACGCGCAAACTTAGAAGTATTCCCAGGTTGGACATGTTATTTTTCATACGTAGTGGCAAAATAAAATAATGTATGGGTAGGCTGCATAGACTACGCTACGTTTGCTTGCGATTCTTAACGAATAGCCATCAGTCTTTTCATGAATGTTCATCGGTTAAGGGTACTTTTAATTTGACCTTTCTTTAATATATCGCCAATCTGATCAATATACGTTCGGCCGATATCAATAAATTATTATTCAGATTTCAAAAATACCTTTGAACCATTTACGCATGCAGCCATATAAAGAATGGTAAACAGTAGATATATTACATGCAATACATACATGGACCTCTACCTACCCCCTTCGGGGATAAAAGGTGTTACGTTATTTTAAGCTACAAAAAGACTAGAACATCAATCACATCCTACCATTATCATCAGTCTTCAGCTTCTTACTGAGCTGTTCCAGTGCAGCATCACGCTCCTGCTTGGCTTGCTTCCTCTTCAACGTCAGGGTGCCCGTGCCTTCCTTCACTTCTTTCGCTTCTTCTGTCTCTTCCTCTTCTTCATGGCACTGTGTGAGGAGACAGAAGAAGAAGGTTTTAGATAGTATTAAGGATGATAACTTGTAACGAATTAGGTATCAAAAAATTACTTATAGCTATAATACATGTAAAATAACAAATGTAAAAGTTGGCTTGTTTTACACTTCTATGCCTAAATGCCTGAATCGATTTTGATGAGGTCATAACAATAGATTGATGTAAAAAGACGAGTCTAAGTATTTTTATGGGATAATCCGGCAAACGAGTAGACGGACCACCTGGTGGTAAAGCAATCGGCGTCGCCCAGGACACCCGGAACACCAAAGGCGTTACAAGTGCGTTACCGGCCTTTTGGGGATTAAGAATTTGTGGATTGTTGGGGATTCAGGGATTTGGGTGATAATTCACTCACACGACGAAACACAACGCAAGCGTTGTTTCACGTCGATTCTCCCTAAGGCCGTGGTATTACTCCGGTCGAGCCGGCCCATTCATGCCGAAGCATGGCTCTCCTACACATAAACATATACATAAGTAATAACCACTTACCAATCCATATTCATCATAGTTGGTGATACCGATGCGGGCACAAATGCTCATCATCAGCTCGCCCACCGTCTTTGCCTCGTCCACTTGGAGTGTCTTTACCGTGTCTGGACAAGATAACAGGATCAGGGCCTGAGTATGATTCCACTAAACTTACTTTATATTATGTAACGCACTTCAATATGTCTTAGACTCAATCCATCAAAAGAGAATCAGACTTCTGCAAAGTCTACCACAGACTAAAAGGTATAGAAATAGAAATTAAATACAATGTTCTGATTTATGTTTACAGTTTGATTACTGTAGGTTTTGATAAACAAGACCGCGTACGGCGCTATGATTGGTGGGTTCGTTAGAGCCGGCCAATCAGAGCGTCGAATGCCCTAATGTTTCGTTTTTATGAAAGTATGTATAGATTCTACAATTTATTATAATTAAATCGAAAAAAAATATCTAGGTAATCAAATATTCTATTAAGGGCCGATTTTTCAATCATCAGTTAATTTTTATCTGTAGAATAAAGTTGATATTTTTTAGTGTGGAAGAACTGTCAAATAAAGAAAATTATTCCTCAGTTAAAAAACTGAGCATTGAAAATTTGACCCTCTGTAGGTTATGTCTAATCTTAAACTTGTCTCTCGTCGCAGTGATTTTTATCAGACCATCTATCCACCTTGTATCTGACACAACTAGTTATTAAATATAAAACGGAAGCTAGTTCCTCACCATCCAGTAGCTTGACCCTCAGCGTCCTGATCCTGCAGATGTAGTCGAGGGAGTCTCCGTCCCTCAGCATGTAGTAGTCCAAGGTCCTGTCGTCCTCCAGCCACACGCCCGTCATGTCATCATCGGCGGACCGGAGGAATAGTGCGTATTCTATGAGAAGGTGAATTAATTAGTAGCGTGCAGCTTAGGTACCTACTCGTTAGTTAGAGTGGCGCAATGCTACTCTACTACGTCGCGGAGAACCTAACGGGTTACCGGGGCTCCGGCTCGACGTGCACGAGAAGGAACGGGGTGGTTTTTAGTCAGTAAGAGTCTGACACTCCCTTCCGCTTCACCCAGGCGGGAGCAGTCATTCGATGATTTTCCCCCCTTAAAAAAAAAAAACTCTACTACGAGTCCTATAGTGGTTTGAAATGATTTACCCTTTCAAACATTAAGTTATTCACGCATAATAACAAATTGTTTTATTTATGTTCGTTTTCGATCTCTTTATAAAACTATGTAACTAGAGAATTGTATTTATATAATTATTTATTAACTTCAGTATTATTGTAATGTAGCATATCTCGAAAACTCACCCTTGGGCCCCTTGTTGCCGCAGTGCTGGCGAAATACCGACCTGTCTCTCGCTTCAACTTCGCGCAATGAGTGTCGGGCTGCGCGATGGCTTCACGACATACCCACACTAATTTTATTGTCGTGATACAGTTTATAAATTTATTTTATTTTTATTATTTTTTTTCCTTCGGTGACGGTACACGTTACACTTGTTTATGTATGCATACTCATTTTTATTCATTTATTTATCGCACAATGTACATACTTAGAGGTCTGTTTTTATTCTTCCTTTTATTTTATTATTATCATTATATTTTTTAACATGTGTCTTATGTAACTATTTTATTTTCCTTAAAATTATTCTTCGTTGCTTCCGTCCGTGCGTCACTGCAGGGGTGCCAACTGAAAACCAGTGTTGGGTACTTACTGTGCCCAGCTTAAACTGAGTTGGTGAGCCCTTTTGTCGCGGACATGCTGCCACCCTGCCTTAATTGTTGTTTTATTTTTTACTGCTGTTTTTTTATGTTATTATTGTTTGTTCTTATTGTTTTTTATTTTATTTTTATTTTTTTTTTGTTTTTCAATGTTATTTTGTTATTATTTTGTGTGTTATTCGGTGGTCCATGTCGGTGGCGAATAAATTATTTTTCTTTCTTTCTTTCTTTCTTATTGTAAACCTGATTGAGAAAGAGTAACCTATGGAGTTTCTAACTCGTTCTTCTCCATAGGACATAAGACATCTACATCTTGGAATGAGCAAATAGCTTCACTTCTAAACTTTTGTTGTTGACGTTCAGAAGTGCCTTTCTTGTCTAATTGAAATAAATGATTTTGATTTGACTTAAAATTTTGTCTGTTATTGTGTTTGTTATTATTGTCGAAACGACCAATGACCGTTATCACTAACCTTCTTGAATTTTAAAGAATCCTAAAATGAGATAAGCCATAAGGACATTTGGTTTTTATTCACCTATACTGTTACACCTAAAAGTAAACGGTTGGTGTAGGTTATGCCGCCTCTAGCTAAGTAGCTCTAAGTTAAGAGATGGTTTTGGGATGGTTGATGAAAATGATCATTTAAGCTACTACTTACTTCTCCACAGTTTTTGAGGAAAGGATAGATTTTCGGCTTTGAAATGAAGGGTACATACGTATTGAATAAGGACTAAGACATAACTCAAAAACTCGACATTAAAGACCCTTTGCTTTACATATTTAGCCCGCACCACGGCCTGTCCTAACAATGGGTACTAGAGATTCATTAACAGAGACCTAGATATAGGTAGTACTTAAGTATGACTTACCTTTCCCCTTATCAGGCACGATGACCTTATCCTTGACTACGGCGAGCGCCTGCTTCACCGTCATGTTCGTATTGAACTTCACTTTGCGCGTCACAGCGCCCTCGTCCAGCACTATCTTCAGCGAGAGGGACGGCATTGTGAGCTAGTCCTGGAAACACCATCGTCATCAACATCTGGTCTACAACATAATTTTTCTCGCCTTGGGTGGGGCGAGAGGGGCGTCTGTCTTTTTTTTAATGGGATAAGCCCGCCACAACCTCCTAAAACCGCTGCAACTCCTGTAAAACCAGGATCTACAGTAGATACAACCATGAAAATACCAGAACACTGAAGTCCAGCGTGTCTCAGGGCATGAATAACTATCTTGGTTCCCGTAACGAAATAAATCAGAAGATATTATGAGATTCGACACATAGAATAGTAATAAAATTAACTACCATTTATAAATTCATCGCTGCTTAAACTACATAAAATATTGTATCATTAAAAACGAATCACCCTGTTTCCTTTAGGAATCTGAGCAAGCGTTGCCGTTGATATCATTATTTCAATACAAACTATGTACGTTTTCCTGGTAAATCTGGCGTTATTAATAATAATAACATAGACTACTATTATTTTACTTATTATTGTAGGTATGTGGCTAATTTAAGGTTTTTAATTCCCTGCTGATATTTCCAAGTATTACCTATATTATTTTAGTTAAGAAACAACGAATACATACTTCCTTACATAAAATATTTACCAACAGGGGTATTTAATTAAATTTAATGATTTGAAACGGTGGTACAAATGATAGTTATGATAAAAACTAAATACTAAGTATTTCACATAATGACGATACTCAAAAAATAGTTTAAAAAAAAGAAATCACAATGGCCGTAAGTAAAATTGGTTGAGACCAGCCTAAGAAAATATGCTAAGCTGCTACTAATAAAAGCCTAGATCCATTAATAGACACTAATTTGCATAAGGTATTTAGATAAATTCTGTACCTAGCCTACATATACAAGGGCAATAGGACATAAGACAGGTGTTTATCTACATTTGTATGACGTCACATCTTCAAACCCATCACTAAATTCTCAGGAACTCAATGATTCCTATCTGATACTTGAGTATAACTGTTCGGCTTCACTATACACTCATATCAAAATTAAATAAGATGGATACGTACTTTGGGGACTTGTGTATTAGTCATCGTAAAATAGCAATCAGGATTTCTCTGAGTGAAACATTGTGTATTTGTTGTGACTCATAAAAAGCAGAAATCAATCACTACATCCTAAGATCAAGAAATGATGACTCAAAAACTAATAATTAGGTCATCTAATAATAGAATCTTTCTAATATTGTATGGTCGCCACCTTACAATATTAGAATAATTCTATTATTATGTACTACCGACCCGCCCTGGCTTCGTACGGGTGCAATACCTATACATGTATTATACATAGTATAAACCTTAAGAATCATTAAAAAAACCGCTTTAATATCTGTTGTGTAGTTTTAAAGATCTAAGCATACATAGGGACAGACAGACGGCGGATAGCAACTTTATTTTATAGACTATTTATTTTATACACTACTATGTAGTGATTAAGAATAGAAATCATACTAAATTACTAGGTACCAATTTATTTTGTCGGATAAGCCGGTAAACGAGCTGACTGATCACCTGATGGTAAGCAATCGGCACCGCCCATTGACACTTGGACCACCAGAGGCGTTACAAGTGCGTTACCGGCCTTCTGGATTAGGAATTTGAGGATTGTTAGGGATTCAGGGATTGGGAGATTGGGGAGAGGTGTAATTGGGCCTCCGGTAACCTCACTCGCACGACGAAACAAAACTCTTGCGTTAGTTTACGTCGATTTTCTGTGAGGCCGTAGTATCACTCCGGTCGAGCCGCCCAATCTTGCCGAAGCATGGCTCTCCTACACTTGTAGAGCTAACTCTTAGGTAGAGTTTGTCTACTTAAATATTATTTAACAGTATCACAATTCCAATATATAATAAAACTATTACACTTATCTAATAAACAACCACTTGATTTCCATACAATGTCACGTCACCTCGCCTAGTCGAAGAATCTTCCTTTTAATCTTTAAACCTAAATTATTACCTAATTAAAACATTGACATAATCTATAAGACCCATACAACAATTGATCTTGTAATGTAAAATTACTGTTAGTTTTATTACTTGTTTATTTATCAAGTATCACTATTATTATTATTTATTAAGTGTGGGAGAGCCACGGTTCAGTATGATTGGGCCGGCTCCACCGGTGTGATACCACGGCCTCACAGAAGACCGACGTGAAACAACGCTTGCGGTGTGTTTCATCTTGTGTGTGAGGTTATCGGAGGCCCAATTACTCCCCCTTCTCCAATCCCTGAATCCCCAGCAATCCTCAAATTCCTAATCCCAAAAAGCCGGTAACGCACTTATAAAGCCTCTGGTGTTCCATGGGCGGCGCCGATTGCTTACCATCAGGTGATCCATAAGCTTATTTACCGGCTTATCCCATAAAATGTCAAAATTATTAAAAAAAAAACATTAATTTATTTAAGTAATCTTACCGACCACGCCCTTCAAAACTTGCTGAACAAAATCCTCCACTGATTTAAAAAAAACCACTATAATAATAGGTTACAGTTAAAAGTTTTTAACCGCCACAGACACAGCACTGATACTGTCCACTGCACTCAACTCACTGGCGAAGCTGTTTACCTCATGAGCTAATACAAGGCAATGATTTCATCGCGTCCTGCCAATAGTATCTACCTACAAATGTCAACGTTTTCCTTAATTTTATATATCCAGATAGTATTTACACTATATATAATGTTTTAGTTTCATTAAATAATAATATTGGGTTGTGATGGGGTTTTTGAAGAGGAAGTTGTAATTTTAATAGGCTTGTGTTCAATAAATATGTTGTTTTGTCATAGTTGATATGATAACTATTAGTGTTTCTATTAATGTTGATCCTAATAGAAGAAAACATCGGGAAAATGACTGATCGTCACGACTGCTATAATGCAATGGCCTTCGTCTTAATCGGGGGTTTAGGTACCATGTCAATTGTGTTAAAACCACATAAATAAAAGGAAAACATTCTTACTAAATTATATAAGTATTATTCATTAATTAAAATACAAATCGTATTTAGTCTGTTTTACTTTAAATAAATCATATTTTTTATCACAGAAACCAAAAGTGTCCCGCAACAATCCAATCCATTTTTTGAAATCCTTACTTTATTATTTTTTTATAAAACCCCGCCTCTTACCAGCCAACATCATTTTTTAATTGATAGAAATATGTATTTGTGGTGACTTAGTTCGTGTCAAAGGAGTTTCTTATTATAAAATATTGTTTATGGTTTGAGGACTCAACAGTCAAACTAATATTTATTTATTGTGTTAAACAATCACAAATATAATAATAAATTAATTGTTAACACTTGGTAACTTTCCTTAGGGATCGAAGTTAGGCCACTAACAACTTAAAGCTTAGGGGATCCTAGTACCCAAGCAAGTGATTTAAGCAACTTGGAAGAGGACAAACAAGAAGAAAATCAAACAATGTAGGTACAGAATTCGATATGATGATATTAATTTAATATCTATTAATAGACAAGAAATATTTATACATATACAAAGTGACGTCACCTAAGAACGTTAAGAACTTATACGTAGACACTTCATATCACTACTCGTCAATGAGGGACATAATAAATTAATTAATCGGTTGAATATTATCATCAGCTATGCCATATTACTTTAGCTGTCTATGTTCATCGAGTGGTCACAACGACGATTGTTAGATATGTGATCTCGAATTCAATTCCCTTGGCTTTTGACATTACCTGTTTTTTGTTGATATATATATAGAGACACCTCTATAAGTCCTTGAGTCTGGGTTTTAACAGATAGCTTTTTTATGAAGTAGGAGGCAAACGAGCACACGGATCACCTGATGGTAAGCGATCCGCGCCGCCCATGGACACCCGCAACACCAGAGGAGTCACAGGTGCGTTGCCGGCCTTTTAAAAAGGAATACGCTCTTTTCTTGAAGGTTTGAAGGTCGTATCACTGACAAAAATCATTTTTACAATTGTAATTGATTTTGTTTTCGTATTATTCATGCAACATCTGCCTCGAGGAGTTGACTACAACTATTATTATATACATATCAAATAACCTTTTGAATTCCTTACTTTTATCAAAATAAAACTTGTTTTTTCACCAGCTGTCGGTGAAATTTGGGAGCGTTGCGTTTTGTATGAGATGAATTCTTGCTTTTGACCCGAGACTGAGAGGGCAGGCAGAAAAGAACCTGTAAAGCATTATGTCAGGATTTCCTTCAGTGTCGAAGATGCACTTACCTATAAGAGAACTTGTGAATGACATACTTTATCATCATCAAAAGCCTGTGAAATTCCACAGCTGAACTCTGTGCTTTTTGGTAGACTTAGTGATTGCAGTTTAGAATATCCAGGTTTATAGAAAAAATATTCTGTTGTTTGCCTCGGTGGCCGAGTTGTCGCAAATGCGACTGCCGAGCAAGGGGTCTCGGGTTCGATTTCCGGATCTTGCAAAGTATTACTGGGTTATTAATTAACATTTGTGAAAAGTGGGTGATATATTGCACAGTGGCATTAATTAATTAATTTATTTAGGTATTAAAATCAACACATCCTAACAGGTTACACCCAATTCGATAATGCTGTCTCTCAATATAAAAAGTGTCATAATGTGCACCTCTGTCTACCCCATCGGAGATAAATGGCGTGGTGTTATGTTATGTTATTCTGTTACCGCGACGGGTTATTAAACAGCAGTCGGTCGGTTATCTTTAGCAATCTCTGCAGTCTTAGAAACAATTTCTGAAATCCCACATTCTGTTTAATTTCTTTCTTTCTAACACATCACACAGTATTATAATTATTATCTAATAACATTTAATAACACACGTGCCTCTGTTCAACAACAATCCTTGAGCCCTTTGACTCACCAGGTGTATACAGAAGGCGATTGTTTAGAGAGATGAGCGACACACACGTGCTGACCGTGACGTGGCTAGGTGTGGTCGGCGTACGCGCATCCGATGCAGTTTGTTTCAATGACGGTAGATATTTGACCTATAGTCTCTATATTCAATAGCCATTTGGCTATTTTTAGGCGTCAATTTTTACATATATAGAGATAGATATAAAGGTAGGCTATAAGTAGGTAGATAAGATTATTTTGGATTGAAATAAAGACAGAAAGAAAAGGAAAAAGGAATTCTATATCACACGCTAAAACAAGTGACATTATAGATTATAGTGTTAGTTTATAAATACTAATGGGTACATATTCATATCCCAAGACTGCGGTGGAATGGGATCAGTTCAGCATGTGCAAGACAGGGCCTTGCGCTGGTAGGCCCCCCTTTTTTTTAAGGGTGGAAAATCATCGAATGGCTTCTCCCGCCCAGGTGAAGCGGAAGGTCAGAGTGTCAGACTGATACTGACTAAAAACCACCCCGTTCCTTCTCCTGCACTTCGAGCCGGAGCCCTGCGTAACCCGTTAGGTTCTCCGCGACTCCAAATCGGCATCAGCCCTATTGGGCCCCATTCGTGGTTGTCTGATGACTCTTTGAGCCGTATTCTCGGGTCTAGTTCCGGTCGGGCGGCGAACCATCCATGCTCGCGATCCCCGACGCCCGGAGTGTCCTTCGCGATGGCTAGGTTGCGTGTCCTGCCTCCTCCTTATCTAGCACGACTGCGCTTAGCCCATGCAGGGCATTCCCCCACTGTGTGTTCCACCGTGTCCTCAGGGCGGTCCTCGCAGTGATCTACTGGCCCCTTAAGTGTTTCGCGGACGAACAAGCCGCCCATCGGACATCAATTAGTAATATAAATTAATTAATAAAACAAACAGTTGTAGGTAAACGAGCACCAATGGCTTACCTAATAGTACCTAATGGTATGCCATTGGTGTCGCCCATACAGCCGCAACATTGTCTATTGTCGAACTACATATTACATTCCGGGTACAATAATCCAAACTTCGCGCTACTACGAGAAACGAGAATTTTCCCTAAATTTTTCCATTTAGGTAGGTACCCAGGAAATAGCACCCAAGTCAAACTGTAATGAACGGCTAGTTTTACATCATCATATCTGGCATAAGACGTCCACCACACTAAACATAGACCACCCCAAATAGCTTTCAGATAGGCCGGTTGGAGGCGACATGCATTCAGCGGCTCCCTTTTATTTTTTTTGTTGACGGAGGAACATTCTGAAGGGGCGGAATGTGGGATGTTTACCTCATTAAAACCTCCCCGAGGCTACAATCTGCACCTAATGGAGACACCAGGTCCTCTTAGTACACCAGCCCCAGAGCCCCCACGGCGCAACGGCATTCGAGTTTTTTTTATACAATATTTGATGGGCCAACGTTTGACCACTATCTCGCCTGGTGGTAAGCGATGATGCGGTCTACGATGGAGCACGGCGACGCATAAGCAACCTATTCTCTAGGGCCAGGTCATACCCTTCAGGAAACACAGATTCTGGCAGAGAATTCCACTCCTTAGCAGTCTTTCTGCCCCTGAGATAGTTTTACATAAACATTACAAAACTATTCTTATCTGCTGGCAGCTGGCTACCATGGCACATTACTGACATCGCTACGAATGCCAGACTTCCCTACTCAACCTCTTTTACATAAGGATTACCAGGATACTGTAATATTATGATTTATGACAAAGGTAGGTAATACCTAGCTAGTTAGGTATTTATATGTTATTTTTCCGTTTTAGGTATTCAATGATTTACTTTATAATAAAATTTACCTGTTATAAAACAATCCTATTTTTAACTGACTTTAAATTATAATACATACAGCTGGAAGTTTTAAAATCGGACGCTCAGTAGCGCATATATCATAGATTTTCAACTTCATTACAAAAAGGTAAGTTATTATAAGTTATTACAGTGACTGATTAGGTTGAAGCACAAAAAATATATAATTATATTATATACATATTATATAACATCACGCCTTTTATCCCCGAAGGGGTAGGCAGAGGTGAACATTATGCCACTGTACAATGTAACACCCACTTTTTACTACTTATGTTATGAGTCCCATGTAATAGGGGGTGAGCCGATTGCCATATACCGGGCACAATTCCAGACTCCGTGCTACTGCTGAGAATTTTTTTAAAACCCAGTAATACTTTGCTCGACCCGGGAATCGAACCCGAGACCCCTTGCCCGGCAGTCGCATTTGCGACCACTCGGCCAACGAGGCAAATATATAATTAATCTATAATAATTATTACACATTCTGATTGAGTTATAATTTTGATTATTTTTTATTTTATATACATCATTAATTTTGACATTAAAATATGATTATATAATTTGGTATGCATGTGCCGATGTAATGTAAAACATAGAGGTAGCCACTTATCTGTAACTCACAGTTTGCTGTAAATTTTACCTATGTTCACAAATAAAACGTTTTGATTTGTTATGCTTCAGTCATCTTAGGTAGGTGTGTACCTACTTACATATTATTACTCTCAAATTGCCAAACAAACACTAAACCTAGACCTACAATTCAAGGAGCCATCAGACCACCACAGATGGGGCCCAACAGGGCTGATGCCAATACGGAGCCGCGGAAGACTTAACGGGTAGCCGGGGTTCCGGCTCGAAGTGCAGGAGTAGGAACGGGGTGGTTTTTATTCAGTAAAAGTCCGAC